ACATATTTGTATATCATAATAGAAGTTTAATTTGTACAGTGACAATGTGCCCTGACATTGTATGTTGGTATTGCGCAATGTATATTTCATACTCCGTATTATATATATATATATATATATATATATATATATATATATATATATATATATATATATATATATATATATATATATATATATATATATATGGCATTATAACAAGGCGGGGATGCGAGATTTAATTTAGAGCCTGAAATGCAGCAGGGCAAAAGTTCCATCAAGACCCTTTGCTTCAAAATGTGATATATACTCCTTAACTGTGATTTCCCTGTACTTTGGTGGATTCTCCTCGGAGACCAGCTCCTTTATCGGTCCATATAGTCGCGGCAATGACAACAAGTATGTGCTAAAGAAACATGCCACTGATATCCTCGGGCCACGCTTGTTGGCCACCACTCTGTGTTTCGAGCTCTTGAACCGATCATTCGTCACAAGCTATTATTAGATTTGGTGACAAAAAAAAAGATTAGAGACTCGTTCGTTCATTTCAATTCGTTTGTTACAAACTGTCCATTTTTACGAACAAAAAACATTGTACGTGACTCAATTGAAATGATGTCATCATGAAATAATTACACCATTTGGGATGGCGTAACTCTACATGTTCTCATTCTGATTTGAACAGAACTTAACGGCTTAATGGATGGGAAAATTTAATGAGGAATGAGGAAAACTTAATGGATCTACATGTACGAATACGGGGCAGTCGCCCCCAGTCAATTTTTTTACTCCGTAATATACAATTTTAAAATATTTTTTTGTAAAGAATAAAAAGAACGACCCCGATTAAAAATAAGTTTGCCCCCACTGACAAAAGAAAATCTTAGTTTAAAAGTAAAAAATAATTTCTTAAAAACATATACACGTAAAATATTTGGAATATCATAACTGTCAAGGAATCAACTCAACCAAAAGCTCAAGCTTGTGGTAGTGACCCAGGAACAGTTATTTATATTCTAACACGCCCCCTCACGTGCAGTCGTAGATTTTTTGAGCCTTGCACGTGAAATCTTAATTTTTTTAAACTGGGTGGCGCTGAGTTTCGAACCCGCGATTTCTTAGTCAACGAGGCTCTGGTACCATGTCAAGGAACCAACTCAACCAAAAGCTCAAGCTTGTGGTTGTGGCCCAGGAACAGTTATTTATATTCTAACAATAACTATATTATGTTATGATATATTTTATTTTTTATTTTTCTACTTTAAAAACATTTATTTTATTTGAATACTTGTTTGAAATTATACTTATTTATTTTTTTATCATTATCAAATGCTTCAAAAAATCGGGAGTGCCACCCCACCATATTCTTTGGTGTGTATTTGCCCCAGTGATATTTTTTTCTGGATCCGCCACTGCGAATACAAGAGTTATTTTCAAAGGTTATTATTAGGAAGGTGCATGCTTGCCTGGAGAAGATCGCCAATGTTGACAACGAGAGCTCCGGGGACATAGGGAACATTTACCCACCGGTTGTCGTGAAGAACCTGAAGGCCCTCGATCTCGTCTAGGAGCAAAACCGTGAGAAAGTTGTTGTCGGCGTGCTCGGTGGTGCCTAAAGTTAGGTGTGGTTCCGGGCAGGCTGGGTAGTAATGCCCAAACAATGCTAAACCCTTGTTGCACTCAATGTCCTCCAGATAGTTGGGACGGAGTCCCAAGGCCTCGGACAGTAGTCCGAACAAAACACGCCCCAACTTTTGAACTTCATTCGAGTATGTGATAAGAATGTCCCTGCAGCATCATATATGTATGTTACACCCAATGCAATAGGCATATATGAATCTTTGTTAGTATAATAAGAGTACATGTCAGTGCGTAGATAGTGTAATAATTAATTAGCCATGCTGGATCGGAGTAAGATTGTATAACTCCCTTCAACTTTGGAAAAATTAATAATCTTAAATTAAACTTTTGTGGATGCACTCCCTAATTGTTTAGAGAAAAAAAGACTAAAGGGGGTGTATTCAATTTGGATTTTGAGAGATTATTTCAGATTTTTTATAATCAATGGATTTTCATGGATGATATAAAATCTATGGATATTTCAATTCTATATAGATTTGAATAGATTTTAATGTATTCTATTATCATTGTTTATATGAATTCTAAAAAGTCCATGCTTTTTACATAAACGAATGATACTCTTTAATCGGTAGCATTAGAATACACACAGTCAATCTAGGGTTTCTCATATAATCATTGTTAGCGTATATTATGTATAGATATTAGTTTATGTATATCTTGTACCATGGTGGGCCTATCTTATTGGGCTTGTAACTGTAACTTGTATATATATCCCCGGTATCAATGAAACAATCAAGTCATTCAGTTCAGTTCTAATTATATTTCTACATGGTATCAGAGCCAAATCCCTAAAACCCTAGGCCTACCGCTGCAAGTCCGTCTCTCGATTCGCCGGTCGCAAGCTCCGTCCGTCCCGTCCGTCCGCATCCGGCATCGTCCGTCCAGCACTTCCGGTCATCGCAGAGGTCTCCTCCCGTCCGGCAGAAGATCCCGTCCAACCAGATTCCGTAGTTTCGTCGAAGCAGATCTGCTCTTCCAACAGATTCGTCCGTCCGGCGTCGTCCGTCCAACGCCGCCAGCACTCCAGGTCATCGCAGATTTTTTTTTTCCAAGCAGATCTGTCCGTCAAAGGCCATTCAAAGCTTTGTCGACAGAGTTTTGTCCAGCAGTTTGGTTTTCCGTCCAAGTGGTCCGTCCAGCAGTTTGGTTTCCAGCCTGAATTTTGGTTTGGTTTTCCTTCCGTCCAAGTGGTCCGTCCAGATTTGTCCACACTTTTGCAATTTGTCCAGCAGTTTGGCTTTGTTTGGTGTGAAAACAACAACATAAAAATATCAGGATGACTAGTACCTCGTGTGATTGGTTGATTGATAGCGGTGCTTCTCATCATATGACGGGTACTCTGTCTCACATGTTCAATATTGAGGATGTGTTATCTCATCCAATTTGTCTTCCCGATGGCTCCCGGATTCAGGCTACTAAAAAGGGAAGTGTCCGTGTGACCTCTAGTCTGGTTCTCCATCATGTGTTTTACGTCCCCACGCTACATTGTCATTTGATTTCTGTCGGGTGTTTGATTCGGGACACCACCTGTTATGTTACTTTTAATGATTTTGGTTGTGTAATCCAGGACCGTTCGTCGAAGATGGTGATTGGACATGGTGAAAAGCGAAACGGAGTATACATCCTGGTTTCTTCCTCTGCGTCGGCTAATGTGGCTAACGTGGATCCTTTGCTTCTTCATCAACGTTTGGGTCATCCTTCCTCAGATATTATTTCCCTGTTACAGTCCAGTAAATCAGGTTCTGTTATCAAGAAACTTCAAGCTTGTGAGATTTGTTTTTTGTCTAAACAAACTCGTTCTTCCTTTCCTGTTAGTCATAATAAAGCTGAAGCAATTTTTTATTTAATTCATTGTGATTTATGGGGTTCTTATTCCCCGTGTTTGTCATCTGGTGCTCATTATTTTCTCACAATTGTTGATGACTTTTCTCGTGCTGTTTGGGTATATCTTATTCGTACTAAAAGTGAGGTAACATCCTGTCTTAAACGGTTCTTTACCATGATTCACACCCAATTCTCTAAAATCATCAAAGTAGTCCGGTCTGATAATGGCACCGAATTTCTCAATGCTCCTTTGCGTCAATATTATGATTCCATGGGTGTTTGTGTCCAAACGTCGTGTGTTGGTACCCCTCAACAAAATGCTCGAGTAGAACGAAAGCATCGTCACATTCTCAACGTTGCTCGTTCTCTCATGTTTCAAGCGTCTCTTCCCATTGAATTTTGGGGGGAATGTGTCAAAACTGCTGTCTATTTAATTAATCGCACACCGACAATTGAGAACCCACCCTTTAGAGGAGAACTTCATGAGAGCAGGTTTGGTGTTCTAAACTCAGTAGAGGCCGTTTTTGGTTGTCTCTGTTTTGTCCGTCAAACACCTAAACCCCTAAACAAATTTTCTCCCCGTAGCGTGAAATGCATGTTTATTGGGTATCCCTATGGCACAAAAGGGTGGCGGGTGTATAACTTGGACACCCACCAATTTTTTCAAAGCTTGTCGACAGAGTTTTGTCGACAAAGCTTTGTCGACAGAGTTTTGTCCAGCAGTTTGGTTTTCCGTCCAAGTGGTCCGTCCAGCAGTTTGGTTTCCAGCCTGAATTTTGGTTTGGTTTTCCTTCCGTCCAAGTGGTCCGTCCAGATTTGTCCACACTTTTGCAATTTGTCCAGCAGTTTGGCTTTGTTTGGTGTGAAAACAACAACATAAAAATATCAGGATGACTAGTACCTCGTGTGATTGGTTGATTGATAGCGGTGCTTCTCATCATATGACGGGTACTCTGTCTCACATGTTCAATATTGAGGATGTGTTATCTCATCCAATTTGTCTTCCCGATGGCTCCCGGATTCAGGCTACTAAAAAGGAAAGTGTCCGTGTGACCTCTAGTCTGGTTCTCCATCATGTGTTTTACGTCCCCACGCTACATTGTCATTTGATTTCTGTCGGGTGTTTGATTCGGGACACCACCTGTTATGTTACTTTTAATGATTTTGGTTGTGTAATCCAGGACCGTTCGTCGAAGATGGTGATTGGACATGGTGAAAAGCGAAACGGAGTATACCAATTTTTTCACGCTAGGGATGTCGTGTTTGACGAATCACAATTCCCATTCTCTGTTCCAAACCCTACCAATTCCGTCCAACCCGTCTTAAACCCCGCCGACGTCGACTTTCCTGACGTCTCTCCGCCGGCAGTCTCCAGCGGTGACACTACCACCGAGCAGCCCGTCATCTCTCCTCCGTCTCCCGTACCAGTCCTGTCAACCGAACAGCCCCCTCTTCCCGTCACTGTCCAGTCGACGGGCGAGTCTCCCTCGTCCGTCCCGTCTCCTTCTCCTTTACCTCCTCGCACACGTCGCCTCCCCACCCACCTCAATGACTATGTCCTCCATTCTGTGTCTACCGTCACTCCGTCTTCCTCTTCACCTAGCTCAGTCTCGTCTGGTACCTGGTTCCCGATTACTAACTATGTTCATTATAATAAGTTGCATAACAGGTACAAGGGCTTTATTGGTGCTATAGATGCTTCTCCGGTTCCCACTACTTATAGAGTAGCCGTCAGGTTTGCTTCTTGGAGGGACGCTATGGCACAGGAATTCAATGCATTGGAGCGTAATCATACCTGGGAGATTACTAATTTACCTCCTAATCGGCGGGCCCTTGGCTGTCAGTGGGTATATCGTACTAAATATCGGTCTGACGGTACTAAGGAGCGGGATAAAGCACGTCTGGTTGTCTCGGGAAATCATCAGGAGGTGGGGGTCGACTTCACTGATACATTTGCCCCCGTAGCCAAGTTGGCTACCGTTCGGGTGTTGTTGTCTGTCGCAGTTGCACGCGGATGGCAGGTTGACCAGCTGGATGTCAACAATGCCTTCTTACACGGGGATCTTAAAGATGAGATTTATATGAGGCTCCCACCCGGATACTCTGATTTGTTCCCTGGGAAAGTATGTCGTTTGCGAAAGTCTTTATATGGGCTCCGTCAGTCTCCCCGTAATTGGTTTGCCAAGCTTCGTCTAGCTTTGCGTCAGTATGGTTTTCGCCAGGCTCATGCAGATCATACTCTTTTTGTTCTCTGTCGTGGTCCTGATATACTTGTTGTTCTTGTTTATGTGGATGACATTCTTGTTGCAGGCAATAATCCCTCTTTGTGCACTTCTTTTAAGAAGTACTTGGATGCTTGTTTTCAGCTCAAAGATCTTGGACCGGTCTCTTATTTTCTGGGTATAGAGTGTGCTCGATCTTCTACTGGTATGGTGCTTAATCAGCGAAAGTACACCTTGGACATTCTTCAGGAGCACAACCTCTCCGGATGCAAGCCTGCCGACACCCCACTGCCCAGCAACCATAATCTAGCCCGTTCTACTAGTGCTGAGCTTCGGGATGCTGCCAAGTATCGTCGTCTTGTTGGCCGTTTGTTGTATTTGACTATCACTCGGCCGGATATCTGTTATGCTGTTCATGCCTTGTCTCAGTTTATGCAGGCTCCACGTCTAGACCATTGGACCGCGGCTTTTCGTGTTCTCCGGTATCTTAAAGGGCATCCAGGACAGGGTATCCTCCTTCGTCGAGATAGTGACCTGACTTTGACGGCCTATTCAGATTCAGATTGGGCGAGTTGCCCGCTCACTCGTCGCTCTGTCACCGGTTATTTTGTCCTTCTTGGTGGGTCCCCTATCTCTTGGCGCACTAAGAAGCAAACTACAGTGTCCCGTTCGTCTGCAGAGGCGGAGTACCGCGCCATGGCTAACGCCTGCGCTGAAATCAGGTGGCTCTGTGGTCTTTTAGCCGCTTTACAGGTCCCTTGTGTTGCTACTCCGCGTTTGTATTGTGATAATAAGTCTGCTCTCTTCATTGCGGCTAATCCGGTCTTTCATGAGCGTTCAAAACACATCGACATCGATTGTCATATAGTTCGGGAATGCCTACAGCGTGCTCATATAATCACAGCTTATGTTCCTACGCGGCTGCAGACAGCTGATATCTTCACGAAGGCGCTCCCCGGTCCTCTTTTTCGTTCTCTTTTGTCCAAGTTGGGCATTTTTGATTTATATGCTCCAACTTGAGGGGGAGTGTTAGCGTATATTATGTATAGATATTAGTTTATGTATATCCTGTACCATGGTGGGCCTATCTTATTGGGCTTGTAACTGTAACTTGTATATATATCTCCAGTATCAATGAAACAATCAAGTCATTCAGTTCAGTTCTAATTATATTTCTACAATCATGCCCCAAACTTCAAATTGCTCCATGAAATCTTATCTTGAGATATGGGACGACATCGATCAACAAAGTGTAGAAACAATAATACATACACTATATGACAACAGCAACTTCTGCCAGAGGATTGAATTTGGAAAAGTGGATGCACTACTTCAAGATCTCTAGTTTTTAAAAAAGATTTCGATTCGGATTTCTATTTTTGAAAAAAGACCAAAGGGATTGATGGATCGGGTGGCCTAAGTGAAGGATTCATTGTGATGAAGCTGGAGATGGAGAAGAAGCAGTTTGTGCGGAAGAAGAGGAGGGGTCGACAGAATCCCAGGGCCTTTGGTCGGATTTGCAAAGTTGATTTCTATTAAAGCATGAAAATCCATCAATTTTTGAATATCATCATATTTAGAGGGATTTTTTAAAATCTAAATTGAATACACCAATATTTTAAATCACTTTTTGAAATCCGAATTGAATACCTACGGATTTTCAAAATCCAAAAAAAATCCACCAGAATCCTAATTAAATACACCCTCCTAAATTAAAGGGTAAACATGATTAAAGTAACAAAAAAGAAACTCTATATATATATATATATATATATATATATATATATATATTTTGAGTGAGTCTAAAATGGCACTAGTGCTACTGGTGTCATTTACTTATTACACCAGTTCGATTGGGGTGCCTGCGGTGCCCCGTTTGTAAAAATGACGGTTTCTACCCCTCCTAACCCTCTCCCTAAACCCCCACCTCGTCCCCCCTCACTACCTTGGCAAACGGGGCACCGTTGGTACTCCAAACGAACTTTTAAAAAGTGAATGCTTTTTAAAATTATTTTCGCAAACATTTGTGAAAGTGAAGTTTAAATAGGGAATGATACAAAAAGATTAGAGTAAAACTGAAGCTTAAAAAATGAAATAAAAATAAAATAAAAAGGAGGCTAAAATTTACCATTGGTCTTTCAACTTTATGAGTTGTGCATGATTGGTCCTTCAAGTTTTAAAAGTTAAATGAAATACTAGTTCCATATAATACGAGTAAATTCTACTACTGTCAAAAGGACCTCATCAAGAGGGCTGAAGTGTATTTGAAGGACTATTTATGGACTTTTGAAATTTGAAAGATCAATGGTACATAACTCATAAAATCGAAGAAATATTTGTGAAGGAGCAATATCAATCGTGCACAACTGATAAAGTTAAAGGAAGTTTAGCCTAAAAAGAACCTGCAAACGGGAGGGAGTTGTTGAGGGTCGGGAGTATTAGGAGCCATGACGGAGTAGAAAGTGTCCCTCCAATCAGCAAAGGAAGAAGTGAAGAGGTCAAAGTTGGAGTGGTACACAAAGTTCTTAGCATAATCCCTGGTGTACCATTCCCGCTTCGCCGCCGTCTCCTGCTCGAAGAAACCCCTCACTCCGCCCATGACCGCCGCCACCACCCCGTCCGGGATCCCATGATGGGTAACCCTGAAGAACCCCCACGTCCCCGACGCTTCCCGTGCCGCCTCCACCGCCCGCCGCCGCTTCGCCTCGTCCTCGTGAATGCCCTCCAGGTCGATGGTCGGAATATTGTTGTTAATGTCTTCTTCTCTGGCGGCGGCGGCGGCCGGAGAGGGGTTCTCGTGAGGAGTAATTTGTTGTGCGGGATTAATGAAGATGGAGGGGAGTTTGGTTATGCCGGCGTCCACCAGCCCTTTTACCCCTTCTTTCGTCTCGTCGAAAGCTTTGAGTTGGCTTTGCCTCTCCTTCTTCATCATCAACTCATGTGTAGCTTCTTCCATTTTAGATGCTGAATTGTTATGATATTTGGGCGTCTCATCATGTCGTCTACCCTTATATAAGGCGGGGAAAAAAAGGTGAAACACTCACTACGGCCACTAGTGGTGTCTCCACACTCCAACCCAAAAAGAATAGTGAGCGGGTGAATTATGTTTTAATCTTTTAATCTTAAAATTAACTTCTTAGTTTAGTTTACAGGGTTTGATTAATTTTATTTTTAATTTAATTTATTTAGCTATCGGTATAGAATTTAAAAATTAAATTTATATATTTAAAAACTATATAATAATTTTACATAACTATAGATGACATGGTTTTATTCTTTTTTCAGATCAAAACCTATAACAATCAGATTACAATCATTCAGATCCCGTAAGTGAAAAGATCAACCCCTTAGTACTTGGTGCGTATATTATTACCAAGTACTCTCTCCGTCCTAAAACTATCTTTCCAGTTTCTATTCACACGGTCAAACATAAATAACTTTCATTCTTTACCTATTTTCACTACTTATTTCATAAACTAATATAATCTTATCATTTCTCGTTTTGTAAAACTTTTAATGTAGTTTTTAAATATGTAAACTTTATTTTTTAATTCTACACCTACAATCAAATAAATTGAATTGAAAATAAAGTCGGCCAAACCTCGTAAACACAAACGGGAAGATGGTTTTAGGACGGAGAGAGTATTATTTTCTCCTTCCATCCTGAGTATTGGTAAAAATTATTTAATTAAATAAAAGTGATACCCAGGAGTATTAAATATTGATACAAGAATGAATAAATTTATTAAATTTATTATATAAAATATGTTTAAACTATTATTTTATCTAATTAATATAAAATATATATTTTATTTAACTATAAAGATTGAAAATAATTGATTGAAAAAAAATCTGGATAAATACTCAAGAACGGAGGTAATAGATAGTGATGGATATCGGGTCTGATGGACCCGACTCCATGCCCAATAAAGGCCCGCAACCTCGCGAAGTGGGGAAGTCCAGGTGCATGTGACGGATTGAGCCCACTAAGACGCGTATGGCGAATAAAAAGGACGGCCCAACCGTGGGCTGAATTAAGATGACCCAGTCCGAGGAAGGAACGGGACACGTGGCCCACACCACCAGAGTGTGGGCGAGATGGGAAGAGAATGAGACCGGAAAAGGAGGAATCACAACCCCATGATCTCCATAATTCCTCCCATTATGTGTAATTTTAATTGAGAAATTAGTACTATAAAAGGGGAAAGAACCCGCCATTGTAAAGGGGGATAGCCCAAGCAACTACACACTTAATTAAAGAATATTATTCTGAGATTATATTTTCCTGATTTATATTACGTTCTTGGTCCGCCATCCGATCGGGTTAATCCCATCAGTTAGTAATCTCACATAATTCAGATTTAAGTCATTTAACAGCATCCTCTCGACCTCTCTTACCACCATTAGGCATAACAGAAATTTATATACTCCCTCTATTCCTTAAAAAACTTCTCATTTTGAATTTTAAAAGATTTAAGAGAAGTGTATTTTGATGTTGACTATCAAAAAATGCACTTTGATGTGATGGATAAAGTATGATGTGATGGGTAGATTAATAGAGAAAAAGTGTGATGTGATGGGTAGGTTAAGAATTAATATGAGTAAAGGTGACTTTTTAATAGGAAAAGAGAAGTGTTTTTTGGGACAGATGAAAAAAGAAAGGGGAAGGGTTTTGTGGGAAGGAAGGAGTACAATACTAAAACATAGTGAGTTTTCTAATATAGTATCATACATTTTAGTTTTTCAATATACTATCATTGTTTAATGTTTGCTAGATATTGTTCAAGTAAATGTCTAAAACAAATTTCACCAAACATAAGAGCAGTGGTCATGAGCATGACGCCAAACCACGTTATGCTCGTTTTGACGCGTGGGGGGCGTTAAACTCCGGCCTATCCCCCGTTATGGCCTGTTAAAATTCCGGCGTCAAATTTTTGACGCGATTTGAAGGTGTTGGAACGCCTTCTTTCTTCTTTTTTCTCTCTTTTCTTCTCTATAAATTAAATTAATTTTTTTTAAAAGTCAACAAAAATACGAATCTCTCTCTATCTATCATCTTTTTAAAAAAATTTATTATTCAAGTATTTTGTTTATTTTTTCATGAATGTAATTTTTTTATTTAATAAATGTAATTTTTTTATCTAATGAATGTAATTTTTTATTTAATGAATGTAATTTTTATTTAATAAATGTAATTTTTTTATTTAATGAATGTAATTTTTTATAATGAATGTAATTATTTTATTTAATGAACATAATTTTTTATAATGAATGTAATTTTTTTAATGAACTATTCTCATTTCAATTCTTTTAAATAATTAAATATTTAAATTTTATTAATTTAATTTTAGAAGATGTGTATTTAAAATGTAAAAAATGAAGGTTTGAAGCTTCGAAACTTCAAACCCATTTTCATTAAAACTGTAAAGTAAATTAAAATTGACATGACAAAGAGAAGATTTGAAGTCTCGATTTGAAGCCCCGAGTATTTCGAGTGCCCCAAGGCTATATTGTTTGACTTAATAACTAGCGCGCGCTGGTCTTCCCACTAGCGACAATGGTGGGGAGGCGTGGAGCTCTTTAATTTTGTCCGCACAAATATCAGCCCTACTCGATCACCACTCAAAATATGACCCAACCAAGTTGATCTTTTTTTACTTTCTTAATTATTACTCCGTATCTTTTTTGAAAATTTACTTGCTTAATTAGTATGGTGATGGCCAATAAATCTACCGGATGATCCAATTCAGAAGAATGGATCACAAGAAATAAGAACAAGAACTCGAGAATTGTACTCCATTCCTTAAAATCCTTCCGCCCTTAATTTTTGCCCACATCATTAAACGCTTTTACTCCCACCTAAAATATCTAAAATATACCCCATTATGTAGTTTATTGCAGGTAGAAGTTGTTTTAGGGGTATTTTAGACATTTTAGGTGGGATAGAAGTATTTTATGGACTGCACAAAAAATTAAAACGCAAGTGTTTTGTGGAATGGAGGGAGTATGTGTTATTAGCTTGATTCATCTTGAGGATCCCCCATTCGGGTCTCCTCTATTTATACATGGTTTCTTGAGTAACTAAGGTAATTCACAATCAAAGGAAGTATAATCCGTCAATGGTGTGATCCCCTTTTTCAGGCTGCGTCCTCGCCATCCGCTGAATCTCCTCCAGTGGATTACTTCTTCCAGCTGTCCCCTGGATTAGGTTGGTTTGGGCCAGCCCAAATTTACTATTCCCCTCTGTCTGTATGACCTAGCGTCTTCCGGGTACTGCGTTTGGGCCACCCGTTGGGTATCGACCCATCATATGGTTATAATCTAGGTAATAGAATTCTTCTTTAAAAAAATTTGGTGGCACTTAATCTTCGAATTTGTGCTTTAAAGACGTCTGTGGCGCTCAATCTAGTACATCTTAGTACTCGCACTATGACTTTTTTATTCATCCACTACTGGTTTAAGAAAAAACCCTAAACTAATTTTTAGTTAAATAAAAAAGTAAATTTTACTCCGTATTTGGTAACAAAAGAGTAAATTTACTCATATTTTATTGAATATATTTTCACTATTAAAATATTTTTCCAGATTGTTTTTTTAAAAACTAAATTAGACAAATACTAATCACCAATTAAATAAAAATCGCATTGCATACTAATAATAAAAAAGAGTATTTGTTTGCAAAACAAATCTTAAAAAGAGCTTTCACATTTTCTTTTTGTTTGTTAAGAAAAACGTTCTACTTTCTAGGTTTGAAAAAAAAGTTCTGGTCTTTAGAGTTTTTGGTAACAATGGTGAAATGTTTGTATGAGTTTCTTTAGAGGGAATTGTGTTCAGAAGGCAAAATATTGTCCTTTAAGATCGAGTCTCTATATGAATCTTCGTATGATGAGATACGAGTAGTGTATCTCCCATCGTCTTATATTTGTGTGTGTAGAGAGTTTCAGAAAAATATGGTTTGTTAGCTTTTGTAGAACTGATTTACTATATTTACTTTAGATGTACTCGGTAATATTTTAAGATCAGCTATGTCATGGGTGGCCCGAAGGGTGAGCAAAGTGGCCAACTGTACAGGGCCCTTTAAAATTTAAGGCACCATATTTTTAAATTTGTTAATAATTTTAAAGCAATAGTATTCTAAAAATATAAAATAGGGCACAAAATATAAATTTTGGACCGTGCCAATTTTATTTTTTCATTTTTCGGGACCGGCCCTGAGCTATGCATTTATTGTAAGTGTTTCTAATAGTCTCAATTTTTTTAGGTGTTGTGAAATAAAGTTGTTACAGTTCGTAACACGCTCCATTTTTTAAATGCAATTTTTATTTTTGATGGGTAAGTCTCATTTTAAAGGTTTAATTTTGCTCATTTTTGCTTTAAAAAGAGAGAGTGAGCGTCCGGCCAATAACTAACCATTGTGATATTTTAGTCAGATGTATGGACAACCATCAACAAGAGGGAAGTCGAAGTAATCACAAATTAAAGGCTTAGACTACTAATAATATGTTTGGTTCAAGGAATTTGAAAGGGAAAAGAAAAGAAAATAAAGTGGAAATCACTTTTTCTTGTTTGGTTCAAGAGAAAAAGAAAGGAAAAATGGAAGGAAAAGAAAATGAGAAAGCAAAATGTACTAAGTGAATGAAAAACCAAATTCCTTCCATTTTGGTGAGGAAAATGAGAGAAAATCATTTTCTTTTCTTTTCCTTCCAAATTCCTTGAACCAAACATAGTGTAAGTTTTTGTCAATGTGATTTTCATTACACTACAATTTTTAATTTAAGCTATTATATCTTGAAATTGCAAATCCATACTTGCAAAGGCTTTGGGGAGAAGATAGGGGTGGCAAAGAGAAGAAGATTGCAACAACAAAGAGGAGTTTTAATTTATTTCACCTATCTATAGTACGTAGCATCTATATTTGTCTTATAAGAAATGGAAAAAATAACACTTTGTTCTATTTTATGAACTATCGTTTTGGAGGTCAAAATTGTGTACACTAAAAGCGAAACTTTTTATTTTTTAGATTTTACTCAGTTTGGAACTACCGTTGGTGTTGCCCTTATACCGTGAATGAATTACTCCCTCCGTCCGCCTAAGATGTTCTCATTTTGACTTTTGGTGGTTTTTAAGGAGAGTTGAAAAAAGGTGAAAGTTTACCATAATAACCTTAATGAAAATGGGTGGAGTGTATTAAATGAGGTGGGTGAGGTGTAATAAATAAAGTAACTGGGGGTAGTTGTGGTATTTTAATTGTTAAAAAATGAAATGAGAAGATCTATTGTGGACAAAGAAAAAGGGCTATTGGGAAGATCTATGGGAGACGGATGGAGTATTATTGATTAAAAATGTAATAATTCTCAAAAACTATACTTTGTATTCTTTTATTGTATGCATTGTTGATTAAATTTAGAATTTAATAAAGAATATATTTACATATGTAGTCATATTTTTTGTCTATTGAAGGATGTAATATATTAATTATACTAAAAATTATATATTTAAATATTGTTCATTTTTTAAAATTTAAAAAGAATTTTAATTTTTTTAAATTCATCTTAAATTATAGATCAAATAGTAGTAACAATATAATTAGGAAACAATAAATAAGGAAGATACAGAGTAATAAATAATAATATTTATTTTCTATTATGTTTAATATTCCTAATGATCAAGGCATGACAAATTGTGAAATGAACTCATCAAATGACGTACATAAATAAGCACTTGGAGATATTACTCGGAAGAACTTCCATGTCGGGTATACCGTATACATAACCACTTTGAAATATTAATAACTACAATCATGGTGAAATGAACACATATAACGACATACAAGTGATACAACACACTGCCAATGATGTTTGTTGACTTGTTCATCTCATATTGGCAATGCAGCCTTATATTGTACTGCTATTTAATAACTTAAGTACCTCAACCAGTCTGCCAATGATGTTTGTTGACTTGTTCATCTCATTTTGCCCCCCATAGATTGCATTATTAATTATGTGCTTCTAATTAATAACAGCTCGAGAATGCCACATTTAGAGCCTAAAGTGCAACAAGGCAGAAGTTCCATCAAGCCCCTTTGCATGATAATGTGACAGATACTCGTTAACTGTGGTTTCCCTGTACTTTGCCGGATTCTCCTCCGACACTAGCTCCTTAATCGGTCCATAACGCCGCGGCATTGGCAAAAAGTATGTGCTAAAGAAACATGCCACCGATATCCTCGGGCCACGCTCGTTAGCCACCACTCTGTGCTCTGAGCTCTTGAACCGATCATTCGTCACAAGCTACACACCCGAAAACAAAAAAAAACCAAAATAGACACCAATTCAATTTGTTTGTCTGATCAAACTCTCAATAATTGTAAAAATATACTCCCTCCTCTCTCCGTCCCAAAAAGTAGTTCACGTTTCAAAAAAATCGTGTCCCCAAAAGTCCTTTACATTTCTATTAAAAAACTACTTTTACCCCTTACTTTTCATACCCTACCTATCACATCATATCTTTTTCCTAATAATTTATACATCCTACTTTTACCCATCATATTTAGGGTATTTTGGAAAATCAATACCAAATTATCCCAATAAAGGTTATTAAAAGGAAGGAGCTTGCTTGCCTGGAGAAGATCGCCAATGTTGACGACCAGGGCTCCGGGGACATAGGGAACATCAACCCACCGGCTGTCGTGAAGAACTTGGAGGCCGCCAATCTCATCTTGGAGCAAAACCGTGAGAAAATCGCTGTCGGCATGCTGGCTGGTGCCTAAAGTCAAGTGTGGTTCCGGGCAAGGCGGGTAGTAATGACCCAGGATTCCTAACCCCTTGTTGCACTCAATGTCCTCCAGATAGTTGGGGTGGAGGCCCAAGGCCTCGGACAATAGTCCGAACAAAACACGCCCCAACTTTTGAACTTCATTGGAGTATTTGATAAGGATGTCCCTGCAACATAATATACTCCCTCCGTCCCATGAAACCTTTCTCCTTTCTTTTTTTATCCGTCCCACAAAACACTTTTCGTTTCTATTAAAAAGTCACTTTTACCCCTTACTTTTTTTCATACCCTAACTATCACATCAAACCTTTTTACTAATAATCTATCCATCAAATCATACTTTTACCCATCACATCAAATGACATTTTTGGAAATTCAATACCAAAATACACTCCCCTTAAACCCCTCCTAAAAAGCAAAACACCCATATTTCATGGGAGGGAGGGAGTAAAATATATTGACTTTCTCAATATAGTGTTATACTCCCTCCGTCCCAGAAAACATGGGAGTTTTGATTTTGAAGAGGGATTTAAGGGGAGTGTATTTTGGTATTGAATTTCCAAAAATGTCTTTTGATGTGATGGGTAAAAGTATGATTTGATGGATAGATTATTAGTAAAAAGGTTTGATGTGATAGGTAGGGTATGAAAAAGTAAGGGGTAAAAGTGACTTTTTAATAGAAATGAGAACTGTTTTTTGGGACGGATAAAAAAAGAAAGGAGAAAGGTTTTCTGGGACGGGGGAAGTATTTTTTAATTTCATGGACGACATTGTTCAAGTAAATGTCCACTATCACTGGATATCGTTCAAAGTAAATGTTCACCGACACTACACATTATTCTCATCACTGGACAATATTTAAGTGCTACAAAGTATTTAGGAAATAAAAAATTCTAGGTACAACGTTGGAAAAAAACATACTCTTTTGTCCATAAAAACATGGGAGGTTTTGATTTTTAAGAGATTTAAAAAATATATATTTTGGTATTGAGTTTCCAAAAATCTCTCTCGATATGATGGGTAAAAAGTAGGATTTGATGAGCAGGTTAATAGTGAATAGATGCGATGGGATATGTATGTTAAGAATTAATATGGGTAAAAATGATTTTTAATTATAAACGAGAAAAGTTTTTTTGGATGAATGGAAAAAGATAAGAGAAATGTTATTCAGGGACATAAAGAGTATGTTTCAATACTATCTAGTGTAAATTTACTTTAACTTGTGAACCCTTATACTCACATCCCACTCTATCCTTTCTACAAAATACTTTCTCTTTTATTTTTTCTCTTTTTTTAAAAACACTTCTACTTTTTATTAAAAACTCATTTTTACCCTTATTTTTTTACCCTACCTATCACATCATACTTGTTCTCTAATAATCTATTAATCAAATCTTACTTTTACACATTACATCAATGATAAAATTTGAAGTCAAATGACAATTTAGCACTTCCTTATTTTTGAACTTGGACAAAATTAGAAGGGTAATTTACCTAAATAGGACTAAAACATAATGACTTTCTCAATATAGAACTATATGTTTTTATTTCCCAATGTAGGACCATTAGTTATTATCTATTAGTCATTATTCAACTAAATGTCCAGCATTACTTAGACATTATTCTTGTTATTGGTTATTATTAAGTTCTAGTTAGGGAAAAAAAGTTTAAATTCTACATTGGGAAAGGACTTACTATATTTTATTCCTGAAAATTTCACATTACAAAAAGTGAGAAAATCTAAGTTGAACAGAGAGAGTAATTACTAATTAGGTTAGATGAAGAACAAAAAAAAAAAAGGAAAACCTGCAAACGGGAGGGAGTTGTTGGGGATGGGGAGGGTTAGGAGCCATGACGCAGTAGAAAGTGTCCCTCCAATTAGCAGAGGGAGCAGAGAAGAGGTCAAAGTTGCTGTTGTACACGACACTCTTAAACAAATCCCGGGTGTACCATTCCTTCTTCGCCGCCGTCTCCTGCTCGAAGAAACCCCTCACTCCGCCTATCATCTCCTCCACAACCCCACCGGAGATCCCGTGGTTGGTCACCTGGAAGAACCCCCACTTCTCCGAAGCTTCCCGCACCGCCTCCACCGCCCGCCTTCGCCTCGTCGTCCCCGTGAATGCCGTGGAGGTCGATGGTCGGAATAGTGCTGTCTTCTTCAGGGGCGGCGGGCGGGGGAGAGCTTTGGTGAAGGAGGGCTTGCTGTGGGTGAATGAAGATTGATGGGAGCTTTGTTATGCCTGCGTCCACTAGCCCTTTCACCCCTTCTTTCGTCTCGTCAAAGGCTTTGAGCTCACTTTGCTTGTTGTGGTGGTTCAACTGATGTGTAGCATCCATTTTAATCTAATCCTGCTGATATTGGTTGCTTGGTCTCATATATATATATATACATCTTGTGTATGATATGATATACCCCCTCCTTCCCTGAAAACATCTCTCCTTTCTTTTTCATCCGTCCTAAAAAAACACTTCTCATTTCTATTAAAAAGTCACTTTTATCCCTTATTTTTTCATATCCTACTTATCACATCATACCTTTTTACTAATAATCTATCTATCAAATCATACTTTTACCAATCACATCAAAGGACATTTTTGGAAATTCAATACCAAAATATACTCCCCTTAAATTCCTCTTCAAAATCAAAACTCCAATGTTTTCGTTCACTAGGGTTAAATTTTATTTACTGTATTGTATATTTTTGTCTTCCATTTGATATAATAATACAGTTATGTCACTTCTAGTTTTATAGATTTTTTAATGCAGTTTTTAAATATGTAATTATTTAATTCTATACGATTTATTATTTAATCCTATACCTATACGATTTTTCATGTAATAAATATTACTCTTTATGTCCAAAATTTTTTCTTCTCATTTTGACTTCTGTGGTCAACATTTTTAAATTTTAATATCAAATTAGAAAAAAACTGTCAAGGAACCAATTCAACCAAAAGCTCAGACTTGTGGTTGTGCCCCTGAAACAATTATTTATAGTTATTTAAGTAATTTGTCTCTTTTTTCTAGCTAAAAATATACTGTGAATTTGAAAATCAAATTATGAAAATAAATATGCTAAAAGTTAAAAGGAGTAAGAACTATCAATTTTACGAACGGGACACCGGAGCGCTCTCGGGTCATCCCATGACATTGGAACCCAATGTTATGGGAAACTTGGTGAAGTTAAAATATGAATTGTATTGGTAAGTGTAGAAAAAAAGATAACATTGAGTAGATGATTGTTGGTATAGGCCACGACATTGATAAGCTACAGTCCTCCCAAAGTCTTTGCCTTAGGCCCTAGAGTCTTTGTTTATTTTTGTTTTTGTTTTTCTAAGAAGACTTGGACTTTTTCGAAAAAGACTTTGACTTTGTTTGCAAAGTGCTGTTTGTGATCGCCATTAGCGTGTAAGAAAATTTTGTAAGCGGCCATAATACTGAAAAAAAAAAATAATGCCAAAGATTATTATTAATATTACAATTTAACGCAAATAATTTCATATGCTTGAGAATAAGATACAGATCGACTCATACTATTTTGGTACCCATCAAACATTCATTTAATTTAACATTTTCAAATCAAATAGGATAAATTGTAATCACCAAGTATTTTTTTTGAAGGCAATCAAATTTCATTATTATTCCAATAAATGAGAAATACAATCCGGGGGAGATGTATTCCATGTAGAAGATTGAGTTATCGCACTACGAGCAAGTGTATGAGCGATACCATTATCTTCCCGAGGAATATGAGCAACCAATGCCGAATTAAACTGAGGCACCAAGTATTTTTTATTTGTATTACATCTTAAATATTAATATAACAGAACCGGATTTTAAAAATTTTCAAAAAAAAGTAAATCTAATAAAATCATTAACATACTAATATATGCTTCCTCCCTCCAACAATAAAATGATAGTCATATCACATGACTCACATCTAGTTTTGTTGATTTTCTCATGTAGTTTTAAATATATAATTTTTATTTTTTAATTCCATATCATTTTTCATATAAAATGATTTGAAAATGACTTCAGTAAAAAACCATAACGCGCAGCGGGGACTTTATTTGTGAACATGGAGAATACATTACAATTTTATTTAATTGAAGTCTAAAGTTCATCCAATTTGACTCCAAAAAGTCAAACTGAACAAACACACATGAAGAAATGTAGCAATTCGGTACCCAATGCCATATCCAAACATCACTTTAAAGAACATCCATGGTGTTGTATACATTCACACACCCACAACAACAGAACCATTCCATACAAATAATAACACAAAATAAAAAGAGAAATTTATTTTGAGAAATTTACTTAAATAGGACTAAAACATAATGACTTTTCCAATATAGGATCATATGTTTTTATTTCCCAATGTAGGACCTTTGGTCATTATGAAGTAGTCATTATTCAAGTAAATGTCCATCATTCTTGGACATTATTCCTCCCACTAGATCATTATTAAGTCATATTTAGGGAATAAAAAAGTTTAAGTCCTACATTAGGGAAGTCATTATGTTTTAGTCCTATTTAGTGCAAATTTCACATTTTGCCTTACGACGTTTTGTCCTTCATGTATGTAAAGCTTCATAAGTTTCCATAAACTAACAAAGCGGGGAAGCGAAATTCAGAGCCTGAAATGCAACAAGGCAGAATTCCCATCGAGACCCTTTGCATAAAAATGTGTTACGTACTCCTTAACAGTGGTTTCCCTATACTTTGCCGGGTTCTCGTCCGACAATAGTTCCTTGATTGGCCCGTAGAGCCGCGGCAATGGCAACAAGTTTGTGGTAAAGAAACACGCCACCGATATCCTCGGGCCTACCTCGTTCGCCAGCACTCTGTGTTCCGAGCTCTTGAACCTATCATTCGTCACAAGCTGTCGTGGGATGGAAAGAGATTAAATTATGTGTATGGAAATGTATAGTACTCCTCCGTCTCTGAAAATCTTTCTCCTTTCTTTTTTCATCCGTACCAAAAAAACACTTCTTATTGCTTTTAAAAAGTCACTTTTACCCCTTACTTTTTCAAACCCTACCTATCACATCATACTTTTTTACTAATAATCTACTCATCAAATCCTACTTTTACTCATCACTTTAAAAGGCATTTTTGAAAATTCAATACCAAAATACACTCTCTTTAAATCTCTTCAAAATCAAAATATCCCATGTTTAAAGAGACGGAGGGAGTAATATTTAAGCTTCTTATATGAAGTACTATTAAAACATTTCATGTACTTATTATAAACATAAATTTGAGTTTTTTTTTGTTTACTTGGTTTCTTGACATAGCACCAAAACACTATTGACTTAAAGGTCACGGGTTTGAAAATCAACGTTTTCCTAAGGCCTAAAACCACAAGTTTGATATTTAATTTAGTTAAATTGAAAACTTAACAGTTAATTAACATTAGAGTGATTTTATTGAAGAGGAGGAGTAGCTAGTCTTGCCTGGAGAAGATCTCCAATGTTGACCACGAGGGCTCCGGGGACATAGGGAACATCAACCCACCGGTTGCCGTGAAGAACTTGGAGGCCGCCGATCTCATCTTGGAGCAAAACCGTGAGAAAATCGTTGTCGGCGTGTTTGGTCGTGCCTAAAGTCAGGTGTGGTTCGGGGCAGGCGGGGTAGTAATGCCCCAGAAACGCTAACCCCTTGTTGCACTCAATGTCCTCCAGATAGTTGGGGTGGAGGCCCAAGGCCTCGGACAATAGTCCGAACAAAACACGCCCCAACTTTTGAACTTCATTCGAGTATTTGATAAGGATGTCCCTGCACCATCATATATGTTACACTTATACTCTAAGGGATGGCAATAAAATCCTGATTTCATTTCTCAATAGAAACCAAATTAAAATGTACACCCTCTGTCCCATAAAGATAGGGACGGTTTGACTAAAGTGGTAAAATAAAAATGGATAATTTTGTGTTGTCTTTCCAAAAATACCCTTGATATGATGAGTTAAAGTAGGATATGATGTGTAGATTATTAGAAAAAAGGTATGATGTGATAGGTAGGGTTTGGAAAAATAAGGGGTAAAAATGGTTTTTTAATAGAAATGAAAATGACTTTAAGGTACGCAATTTTTTTGAAACGGGAATGACTTTATGGGTCGGAGGAAGTATCAAACTTATTTATAATTTTCAAGTTCCATTTGCAAAATAGATTGAAGTTGCCCATTCCACTTAATTATTCCAAGATGAGAGACACTGAGGCTGTTCTTTTAGGTTGGAGTTGTAGAATTGGATGTGGAAAAAATGTAAGAATTCGGAAAAAATGGGAGGAGTTGAAAAACCTGAAAAAATTAAAGTGTTAAAAAATCACTCAATTAAATAATTACATAAACAAATATGTTATAAATTTGGATATATAATATTATCGTACATTCATCATATATAAATACCTTTTATATATCGTTAGAAGAAATTAGTAAATATTGAAAGGAACTTGAAAAAACTGAAAAAATTGAAAGTTAATTTTTCTAATTCAAAAGATGAGAACATGGTTAAGTGTATCTTCTATTCAACTTTATATTCTTGTTACTCAAACTCCAGTTTCCACACCCACACGCGCCACCCAATTGTCACACCCCCATTTAGGATGGGTAAGAGTTACTGGATTGAATTATAACACACTAGGCTTGAATCTTATTAAAAGATTGAATTCATATACTTATTATTTTCTTCACACATTTGGGATACTGTTTAACAGTTGCACTTAATCTGTTATTAATAATGGTGATCAATGAATTGTATATATATACCTGCAAATGGGAGGGAGTTGTTGGGGATGGGGAGGAAGAGGGGCCATGGGGCAGAAGAAAGTGTCCCTCCAATTAGCAGAGGGGGCAGAGAAGAGGTCGAAGTTGCTGTTGTACACAAACCCCTTAGACAAATCCCGGGTGTACCATTCCCTCTTCGCCGCCGTCTCCTGCTCGAAGAAACCCCTCACTCCGCCTATCACCTCCGCCACAACCCCGCCGGAGATCCCGTGGTTGGTCACCTGGAAGAACCCCCACTTCTCCGACGCCTCCCGTGCCGCCTCCACGGCCCGCCTCCGCTTCGCCTCGTCCTCGTGAACGCCCTCCAGGTCGATGGTCGGAATCATAATCATGTCTTCTTCTTCGGCGGCGGCGGCGGCGTCGGGAAGAGAGGTTTGTTGTTGTTGTGGGGGAGCAATGAAGATGGAGGGGAGTTTGGTTATGCCGGCGTCGACCAGCCCTTTCACCCCTTCTTTCGTCTCGTCGAAAGCTTTGAGTTGGCTTTCCCTCTGGTCTTCTTCTTCTTCTTCTTCGTCGTGTTTTGGACGGTTTTCATGGCGGATTTGGATTTGGGGGTGGTGTGTAGATTCTTCCATTTCCGATGGTTGTGGGGATTTGCCGGTCGTCTGGCGCGCGCTTTCAATGAAAATCCGTTGACTAATTTGCGCGATGGCTCGCCTCCTAACACGATTCTACCACCTACCTAAATTTAAAGCAATGGGGCCCATCTCTTCATCCTTTTTTCTTCTTTTATTTTAAATTGCAATGACAAAAGATGGCTAAAAGAAAGAGTGATAGAAAGCAAAAGAAAAAAATGCACACAAATAGAAAAAATTAAAGTACAAGTACTTGACAGAATGAAAAAATCAATAGATTTAATTAAAATTACCTAAACTAAAAAGCATAAAATTAATATTTTTCTAATATTATATTTAAATTTACATTGTTAAAAACAATTCGGGATTATTTTTAAATCTAAATAATAAAAAAAGTCAAATAAAAATAAAATACGGAGTAAAAACTAAACTTATGGTCTACATATATATTCATACACAAGCTTTATTTGTTCATTGAAAAGAGTATTTCAATACTCCCTCCGTCCCTGTCCCTGAGTCTTTGTTCACTTTCATTTTTGCACACCATCCAATGCACTTCTTTAATCCATTTTATCTTGTAATTTGTATATTAAAAAATTATAAAAATTATATATTAATAATCTATATGTTAAGACGAATCAAATAAGATCACACATGACTATTTTTTGGCATACACATTGAGAGAATTTGATGAGTCAAAGTCTTTAGATGAACAGTTCCAAAAGTCAAAAGTGGACAAACACTCAGGGACGGACCAAGTAGTAAGTAAATGCTTATTTGGTTTATACTCCCTCCGTCCCATAAAACATTTCTTGTTTCAAAAAAGGCGCACTCTTAAAATGAGTAATTTTGGTGTTATTTTCTAATTTTGCCCTTACTTTTAAAAGAGTAGTATGAGATGTGTAGAATAGATTAGTCATAATTAAAAAATAACACTAAAATTACTCATTTTAAAGGCGTGTCATTTTTGAAATAGGAAATGTTTTATGGGACGGAGGGAGTATAAAACTTCCCCATTGTCCCAAGGTTAATCAAAACAATTCGTCTTCCGTGCCGCATTTCTCTCAAGCTTTATTTTTTGGGATTGTAAGGATATTGTTAAATATCAAAAGAAATTGAAACAAATTAAAAGAAATTGAAAAGATTTGAAAAAAAATCAGAAATTGCAAGATCTATATAATTTTTTTACCAAACTCTTACATCCGATCTATTTTTCCGTCACAACTATTTTCAGATATCTCTAAACATTTTTGTTTCATATATGCTGAACCCTAGACACTTTTTGCTTAATTGTGATTTAGTGGGTTTTCCTTTTTGAATTGAGTAAATTAGCTAAATAGGACTAAAACATAATGACTTTCTCAATATAGGATTCAATGCAGGACCACTGGTCATTATCTATTAGTCATTATTTAACTAAATGTCCAGCATCACTTGAACATTATTCTTCTCACTAGTCATTATTAAGTCTTATTTAGGGAATAAAAAAGTTTAAGTTCTACACTGAGAAATGACTTATGTTTTAGTCATATTCAATGCAAATTTCACTTTTGAATTTTGATCCATCCCTTATGATGCTTATTTACATTGATAAAAAAATATTTGGAATATATGATTTATATCATTCCTCTATTTTCTAGGTAGATATCATTTAGTGAGTTTTAAGAGAGTAGCTCTCAGGTTTTACATTATCTGAAATATACTCTAAATTACCACCTAGATTTTTTAGAAGAAACTCTCAAGTCCCACATTATTCAAAATATACTATGGGGGTCCTTAAAATCAGTGGTAATGTACTCCAAATGTACAATCTATCTATTTGGTTATTAAGATTAAAAATTTCGTAACTTTGACTAATCCCGTCTCTGTTTTAGTGTGTTAGTCAATCCTGACATTCTAAACCCAAACTAGATCAATTGTAAACTTCAATTAAACAAAAATCGTAATGTATGTTTGCATAAAAATCAATTTATTAAATTTATTTTGTTGAGAACTTTTAAAATTTTATTTTAAAATTTGCCCATTTAAATTTTATTTTAAAATTTGTACTAATATGCAATACAAATTGAGACTAATTAAAGCTTAAAATTTACCCAATTTCACTCAAAAAAGTCAAATTGGACACACTAGAATGGAGGTGGTACTAGATTTTACATTGATAATCATTATTTTATTAAATTTAAATAAAATCCTTTAATTTATCAAAATAATGGAACTTTTAATTCTAAAGACAAAATGTACCCTCGAAATATAATATTACAAATTTTAAAAACCTCAGAGTATATTTTGCATAATGTGGATTCTTAGAATTCTTACAAAAAAGTATAGGATACCCGAAGTTTATTTCATATAATGTGAGACCTAGAAGTTATTATCTGAAAATCAAGAGTACTCCAGGATAAAATTAGCATTTAAAATAAATACAGAGAAAAATTTTAGTACAAAATGATTGATTTGAAATAAAATTCATATACTCCGTGATGCTCTATGTTCATGCTCTGCGCCTCTATATTACTCAGAGCTAAGAGTCCCTTAGAAACACCTCTACTCTCAAGTAGGGGTAAGGTACACGCCCTCCCTGAAACCTACTTTCGTGGGATCTTATTGTGTTGTATACTCCCACATTTTAAATTGGTAATACTCCGTAATAACTTATTTCAGATTGTATTGAAAGTAAGAAATCTAGTTAGATAGTGAGAGTTTAATTCAACTAATAGAATGTTCCAATGAATTTTTCTTCTCCTATATTGATTAACCATGTCCATCGGACTACATATACCGGACCCCATGCCCGCCAAGCGCATGGGAAGGTACACCAGACCTGCCCAATGTTGGCGAGTTTCGGGCAGCTCTCTGTTTTTGGACACACATAAGAAAAAGAGACTGGAAAAAGCTTTAGTACTATAGCAGCATATGAAGAAAAAAATAAGTCAAGGTAGTGCCTATCTGGGCTTTTCAATTTCTTCTTCCTTTGCAACCTCTTCATTGTCGCTCTTCTTTGTTGGAGGTCCCCTGGCGATCGGCATGTCATTCTCACCAAACGTCTTGGGTCTCGCATGGTCAACAAAGATAACGCGCCCCTGTAAAGGCTGCAATCAAGTGTACGAGATTCAATGCGCTAATAATACGTTCACGTATGTATAAGGGCATCCCAATGCACAAAACATGGCAAGGGTCTGAGAAAGGGGCCCACCAGAAGGGTGTGCTACAAACAAACCTCAAGTTGCATTTTTTGCAAGATAGCCCTTTACTAGAACTCTAACACTAACACTATGCTTGGTTCAAGGAATTTGAAAGGGAAAAGAAAAGAAAATGAAGTGGAAAACCATTTTTCTTGTTTGGTTAGAAGGGAAAAGAAAGAAAAAGTGGAAGGAAAATAAAATGAGGAGGCAAAATGTACCAAGTGGAGAGAAAACCAAATTCCTTCCATTTTGGTGAGAAAAATGAGAGAAAACAATTTTCTTTTCTTTTCCTTCCAAAATCCTTGAGCCAAACATAGTGTAAGTGTTTATGTCGTCAAAGTTTTGCCTCGTGTGACCTTAACCTTCTTATCAAAGAATAATGAGACGAAATTCAAAAAGTGTCATTTTAGAGGTTTTTCTTTGGATGTGCATCGGGCTTCATGTATATATATAAACTACACATATGGGCATATACCTTCCCATTCATTTCTGTAAGGGCCGTCTCTGCCTCATCATGCGATGCATACGTGACAAACCCAAAACCCTTTGATTTTTCTGAGACTCTATCAGTGACAACTTTAGCTGAAAACAAAAAAAAAACAGAGTGGTTATACTCCAATTTAGGTTAAAACAACAAACAGTTTTGTCCCAAACCAGAAGGTCAAACCTTCAATGACTTGTCCATACTGAGAAAATGCCTCCGTCAATACCTTATCTGTGGTGAAAAATGAAAGGCCTGCAATGCAACAACTTTTACCGAGAGTTTATGAACAAATGGGCATAGGTACATAAAATACATTGCAACACTATTAACAGAAATTACAATGAGTTTACACAAATAAGCATAAACTGAATCCAAAAAAGCCTGACCGGAGATGGAAAATGTTCAATTGAAATATGCTTAGAAAACAGTTAAAAAGTTGAAATGACCGACCATACATGGAGTTTATGAAAATGAGAAACATGCATAACTCGAGATGACATTACACTTCCTTTGTTTCTTTTTCATAAAGCTTTGGGGTGTAAATCAAGCAATGCATCAAGGGTCTAACGGAAACAAGTTTACTTTTTTTACAGGGTAATGTTCCCGTACATCTTGACCCATAACTCAATGTCATAAAGATGAAATGACTCAAAAAATAGTTGGAAGAGGAAGATTAGAAACATGATTTGTTTTAGAAAAATTTGAGACCACGCCATCTTGTGAATGGTACCAACAAATTTGGCATTAAGGCCGGGTTTAGTCAGTCAAATTGATACATCGCTAACTGCTAACAATTAAGAAACTTTCATATAGAAAACAAAAACTGAAGCTTTATTGTAACCAAAAAGAGAAATCGAAAACAATCATATTTTTGCAATAACAATTACAGTTAAGTAAAAGCAGCACAATGAACAAGACACACAAAAACAAAAGGATCTGAACTAGTAAATCTGGAAGTTCAATGCAAACCAATTAACCAAACCATCAATCCCGCATCCAGAATTCCTAATCATCATTGATAATAATGCAGTAAGATATAAAAAAAATCATGATCTTTTCTTTACACACACTGTTCATTTCCTCTTGTTTGAACTCAATTATTACTGACTAAATTCAGGAAATAAACTCAAACCCATTATATTTTGAGAAATCATAAGCCACAAATCTACATTCTTTTGTATATATTCGTTAATCGACGCTGACTTCCATGAAAACTCATAAACCTAGTGTAAAACTGAAATAGGAAATCAATTAGAGCTTGGAAGAGAGACCTCCGACGAAGAGCTTGGAAGCGATGCCTCTCCGAGAAAGAAAGAGAAAGGCGGAGGGTTCTGAGAAATGAGTTGTTACGTTCTGAAGCCTTCTCAGAGCGGCCATAATTTAGCCGCCGTTCTTGCTCGCACGGGAGAGACTTGCCCTGGGTTGTGTTTTTGTAGACAATACTCATCTGAAATTTTGGGGTTTTTAAATCCAAGGTACACCAAAGAATATATTACCTCCGTCCCAGAGTATTTATTCACTTTCATTTTTACATATCATCCAATACACTTCTTTAATCCATTTTATCTTGTAATTTGTATATTAAAAAATTATAGAAATTATATATTAATAATCTATATGTTGACAAATCAAACAAGATCACAGATGACTATATTTAGGCTTACACATTGAGAGAATTTGATGAGTCAAAGTGCTTAGGTGAACAGTTCCAAAAGTTAAAACTGGACGAATACTCCGGGACAGAGGGAGTACTATTCAGAAGTTGCGATATTTTTACTGTTGACATCGTCACAAAATATTAGTTCAATAAAAAAAATTGTATTAGCATTTTGTGCCACTGTTAACCGTCACACTAACATTACACTATTACAAAATGTTGGTACATACATTCGGACAGGGTATAATTGTTTCGCTACACATAGTTAATTCATTTTTAAATAAGAGTACTACCTTTTCCAGGTGTATTCGCTTGTTTAGTTGTTTTCAGTCTATCTAGACAAATTTTTTCTTCAATTAAATAAGAAGAATTCTAATTTTATTTGTATAAAAAAATTCTTAGATTTATATTTTGAGAATTTTGACAATTTTATTTAATTATATTACTCTGTGAGTAATATATTATGCAAATAAAGAGTAATTGAGATCCAAAGATCATCTAGTTTGACTTAAGTACTCGGAAGAAGTGTATTTTTCTTTAAATAAATATTTCAAAACTACATATTGATCACAAAGAATCATAGGTATCATTTGAGAAAACTGAAAAAGTACCAAACCTATTCTTTTCATGTGAATACTTATAAACTACATATTGATCACAAAGGGTCATAGGGTATTATTAGGGAAGAGCAAGTATAAACCAATTCTTAAATTTCTCAAAGAAATTACAAAAATCAAACTATAAAATATTAAATTGAAAAACAATTGCAAAAAATTGAGTCAAACAATCAGTTCGGTATTTGAGAGTGATACAAAGTAACTTCTCATTTCAAAAATCTCGAATCAAACACATATACTTATTATAAATATATAAATCTTTTCATAATTTTACTTTATTTGCTTTAAATTTTCAATCTTTAGATAAATTCAAAAACATAAGAAGCATTCGAAATAGTATTTTGTTATTATTCGTTCTTTTTCGTTCCAAAAAAATGTCATATTACTCCCTCCGTCCACTATAGGTCTTCTCAAGTTGACCTTTTATGATTTTTAAAGAGAGTTGATAAAAGGGTGATAACTCCACCCAATTTTATTAATGGAGTAATTATGGTTTTTAAGCTACAATGTGGAATTTTCTAGAAAAGTATAGAAGCCTCTAGAATTATGTAGAAGAATGTATAATTATTTAAAAATTCAAGAGCTTTTTAGAAAAGTATGAAAGTCTCTAAAAGTGTGTGGAAGAATGTAAAATCCTTTAGAGTGTTATTAACCTAAGTGCATTCCTCTAGATTTTTTTCTAGAATATTATAAAAAATTCTAGAGATGTAGAAAAATGTGAAGTATTCTAAAAAAGTCTAGTCTTGAAGATGAGTATAAAAAATATGTGGATGTCTTTTTTGGCAATCCAAGTGTGAAGAACCGAGAAGACTTCTTAAGAGTGCTTGAAAATAAGGTGGAGAATTTTTTGTAGAAAATAATAAAGGGAGAAAACATTTCTGTATTGAATTGTCTCGAATATTACAAAGGTTCAATCCTCTTTATACAGAAAAGTGGTAAAGTAAATATATATAAACTTCAATTTCTATCTTAATTTTATTCTGACTATAACATAAATAGGAAAAAATAGGAAAGTCACCAAACCAAATCTCAAAAAAATTTGATTCCCTTTTCTATTTTTCTCTCTCGTAACACCCCCCTTAAGCTTGGGTGCGAGGATTACAAGTATCCAACTTAAACAATACATAATCAAACGGTCTATGCTCAAGTGTCATCTGAACATTTCAACAAATGGGATTTTTCTTCTTCCTCGACGGAGGCGCCATTCTTTTTGAATCCGCCGAATAATCAATTGCGTAATGGAATGTCATTCTTTTAGAACCTTCACCAAATTCAAACGAACAAGACAAGCGCCATTCTTTTTGAACATCCTGCAAGCCATTTTAAAAAAAATTGTCTACACATTACGAAATTGTCCGCTTCCTGCAAGACAACCCTTGTCGAACTTTTTCTTCTTGATTACTGATTAGTGATTGTGATTCCTCAGCACTCATGTTCTTTGCCAAGGAGGAACAACCATCTGTCATACCGACTTTATGGACAGCGTGCACTGGCGGCTGTCTCTGGCGTACTTTTGGAGGTTGCCATGGCGGTCGAGTCTGACGTAGATGGCTATGCCGGTTGAACACAACAAATAGACACGCTTAGCAATTATTCAAGAGAAAAACAAAAGAAAAACCAACATCTCAATCCGTGTCGTCAATTTGCTTTTAAACTTTAAAAGAATACATTGTTCTTGGACAAATACTACTATCAAACACATCATAAAAATAATACAAGCAGTTTCTCACACACACACGCACCCACGAAATGCTTCTTTTTCCAATGAGAAAATAGACCCCACACAACCATACCATTGATCGCATTCTGTAATGCCCAAAGAGTAAAGGTTGAGGACAATGCACGCCAAATCATATACAACGTCACACCAACATTCACTGTACGATAAAATACATGAAACTAAGGTGATTATGTATTCTCAGGTCCACGGAGAAGGCCAAAGAGAAACCTTCAAATAACGCTCGGCATAAAATCATATGTATTCTCCCGCCCACCTTGTGTGTGCCTAAGAAGACATGGACCTCATCACATAAGAAAATTAATGTTGGGATAATCACTTATTTGACTTCTTAGAAATGCCTAGAGCACATGATAGAAACAGTTGAAGGTTTTAAAGTCACCTCGTTCATTAACAGGCTCATGATTGGTGCACTTTTGACAGTGCTTGGTAGACCAAGTCGATAAACTGATTGTCCTGTCATTAGAACAAAAAGAGAACGACACCCCTTGATGAAACATCTAATTTCTTCGTCATAGAATAATTGATCGTGTGAATTATATAGAAAGACATAAATTTACCTGAACCAGCATTAGAAGTGCATCTCGAACTTTTTCTCTGTTTAGTGTCACATTAGTAGGAGGAGGAGGAGGATTAGAAGTGAAAGAGAGTGGTGGTGTGGGAGGGGGGAAGGGTTGAAGCATTGGAGAACCGTGTGGGCGTTGCTGCAGATTCAAGCGAGAAGGATTAAGTGCAGGTGTTGCTGGGATAGAGGACGGAATATGGTTCACTGGTAGTACAGGTGACATTGAGGGAGGTGTAAAGAAATTGGGCTTGAGAAGACCGGCAACCTGATTGGTTTTGTTCATTGGGTCAGTACCATCCTGGAGAGACAAAACTGAAGGAGCTGATTGTGGAGGAAGTGTTGGGACATGTGGTATGGAGCCAGGTAAACGTGAGGTCGAAGCTGAGGTTTGAGGAGAAGCATAGTACGTTGGCCTAGTATTTGGGGACTTAGAAGAGTTGGCGCCTAAACCTGTGGCTGCCTGCAAAATGAGTAAGCATTACTAATACATTCTTGAGCTCCATTTTAATGCAGCAAAATGCGTTGTTGGGGAAGTTGTCTACAAAAAAAAAGAGCTGTTTAATACTTTTAGGAATAATATAATTTAAAATATTTTCCACGAATAAATAGAGCATTGGTGTATTAATCCCAATATTTTGGGAAACATCATTCAATATGTTTTGGGTAGGAATGATGTATCCTCAAGTGTGAAGTTCTTCAAGAGACGAAGGGAGTATATCTAACTTTGAGGGGCCACTTACATCAAAGAAATTCAAAAAGTTGTCTTCAGCAACATCAGTATGAGTGGGCACAGTAAATGATGGCTCCAGTGGCCCCTCAATCACTGCACTAGTTGGTACTGCCTCAAGTTCTTCATACTCACTGAAGAGACATTTAGAATATGGAATAAAGCCAAGAAAGATTCAATTAAGATAACAGCAAAGAAGATCTCTAGTGATTGAACAATATTGTATTTTTCATAGTTATAGCTTCGGAGCTTCCGAATGACAAAGACGGGTTTATTATTAGAAACAAATTCTTTTATTTTGGGCGTTCCAAGATGTTTTTTTCAAATAAAGTGCAACTTTGGTTCACACCACAATTTAACCATCCATTAAGAAATGATGAAATATATGTATATGTGTAAGTAAGTGTTGTGAGTAGTCATGTTGCTCTAGTTTACTGCTTACCTTTTGGTTGAACTTAGCTTTGGCTTCGGAGAAACCTTTGAATATGCACTAAGAATCCTGGACCAAAGTTGAGACGTATATTAACGTTAAAGTCAAAAGATTTTATGTAGCTGCGCACACACTAACTATTAAGAAAATTTTGCCCTTGTATGTACAAGTTATCATTCAGTTATCAAACTAAACAAGACTTGTCATTCTTTTGTCAGTAGGAACTATACTTTTACAGTTATAACGAGATTGACTTTTTTTATAATTTGGGTTGGTGCCCCACTGGGCACCCTCTAAAAAAAATTCTTACAAAAATACAAGAATAACACAGACAACAATCCAATTTAAAAGGAAAGGCACTAACGACCAGCATATTTTTTCCATCCGAATATCCAAACAAAACAGAAATTCTTTAGGGTTTGTTTTTTTTTTGGGTTAAAATTGTAAATTTCCAATTCCAGTTGCTTCAAGCTCCTTCCAATTCCTTCAACTCTTTTCATTATCTATGATATTATGTTAGGCCCATTTTTTATTACACCCTGGCCTATAGAACTTTAAGACCACTCCTGATTATCATTATTACAGTAATTATGATTATTGTTATTATTATTATTAATTATAAAGGTTAACAAATATTCCCTAATAAAGCAATTGATACTAATGGCACAGATTTTTAAACTTCCAACTCATTCGAACATCCAACTTTATTTATCCAACCCAAAAGAACAAAGCCATGATGCTTTACAGGGAGTGGGCAGATCCTTTTATTATAATATACTACGTATGTAGGTTTCACACCTTCCTCTATAAAACTAACTCCAATGATGAAAACATATTCAAGTAAAGCTTTCAAACAATGTAGGTATGAAGAATTAAAGAAGACTAAGAGGAGTACCAAAGAAACTTCTCTCAATTTATGTTACACAAAGATACTTTACTTGCTTGGAAACAAGCATTTCGGAAACTTAATGCTTGCAATGCTTATGTGCATGCATATGTACACACATCACAAGCGTCTAAATCTATAGGTATCTGCTTAACCAATTCCAGCATTCGCATATAGTTGATGACTATATGCAGTCAAATTTGATTGCAAAAAAAGGGGGTTACCTACTAAATAGATTTCCAACCTCTTCACACTCACGTGAATTGTAAAACCAGATACCATTCACTTCTTGAGCTGCATTACGATATAATAGATATGGAACCTGAATTTCAAATTCAAAATCTCCCAAGAGATCTTCCACCAGATTCTCTGTTGATATCAAAGAAGAAACCATACAAATATGCAATCATAATCAGAAAGAGAACAAAAACACAGTTCGGATAAAATGTGAATGCTTTTTTCAAAGCAGGACTGGAGGAAGATGGCACAATATGTATGTCATGATAGTGCACATTTGCTGCATAGAGTTTTAAGAGAATAGCCTACAGGTCTATTCAATTTTTCCAAGCTAAAACGGAGTTGAGAACCTGATAGGGTTGACTGTACTAAAACCAAATCGAACTTGATTATACCCCCAAATCAATATCTTCCAATGGGATTGGGAAGCACTAAATGATGTTGATCGCTAAAAAGGGTTGATGAAAAAGGATAATCTGGATCAAAAGCTCATGCATGTGCAAGGCTAAGCCATTAAGACCAAATGCCTTACCCTTTTTTAGTAAAAAAGTATTCCTATCCAACACACCATGAGCAAACATGGGATTGAACATGTGGCCTTGAGGTCACATGGGAAGAGCTTCACGCATTTACCAATTCATAAAGTTCTCATTCAAACAACAACAACAACCCAAATAAATCCCACAAGAGTAGGCAAACCTTACCCCTACTCGAAAGTAGGGAGGTTGTTTCCAAGAGAAAAAGTACCCATTCAAGTGAAAGGTAATAAATGATGGTTAAAAAACATAAAGAGGGTGTGGACGTGTGTCGTGTGGTGCTGATATCATCCAAATATATAATAGCGTGTCCATTTGTAAACCAAATTCCATGTTTCCCACATTCTATACAGAATCAATGCATGTGGTTGTGTTAACGATTCAGAATGGGGTACACACTTCTCATTCCAGTACACACACACACACACAAGTTAACATTTGAAATAAACTACTATAGGCTCTTCATGGTGACGAATATGACCTCAGAAAGCACAAGCTTAGCCTAATTATGTGGGTCAAGCACAAAAGAGCTTGCAAGACATCTCACCTTAAAGAGTATGTCCACAAATTGTGTATCATAACATGCACAACAGTGACATAAACGCCCTATAATTTGGAATTACCTCACAGACCTAAACAGAAGTAAAAAGGAGGCATATCATACATAAAAAAGAAAAAAAATTAAACTAACCTGTATTCCGGCGATTCATTACAACAAACTGGAACCTTGGCTGGGTATTCCTAAGAAAAAAATTACAAAACCAACTTTGAATTATTATCCATTCTACATGGAGAAACTAGAGCTTCAATCTATGATAAATAACACCAACCCATAAGATGACATGTAAGATAAGTAACAAAAGAAGGCATGATGAAAGACTTAAAATTTGAGCATCAAGTTGTGACTCATAAGGCAATCCCTTTTTGAAGTTCGAACTCTGAACTCAAAGAGCCTGAGTTTACATATTGGTAAAAGAAACAAACTTAGAAAGCATACAAGTATTTCCCGTTAAATACCATCCAACTATATATTGAATACAATATCCAATCATTCTTGCAAGAGGCACACCACTGCAAGAGTGCACAAGGTACAAGGGACAGAACTGAAAAGGAATGCCTTGGTGAAGGCAACCGCAATCCCCACCTTTTTTAGGTTTCATATGTGGGTCGTGTAATGAAAACACAAAAAGGAAACCTTGAGGCACAGCTTTGTCTCTGGTTTTCACGCACGTTGCCAACAAACCCACATCTCCTCACCAAACCATGTCTGTAGCTTAATTCACAAAGCTGCTTCTCACAGTTTCCCTCATCTCTTTATCAGTTATCAAAGTTAACTGCTCTTTTCCAGTTCTTCTTCAAACCCTCCCCTCTCCCATTTCCCCTTTTCTTCCCCTCCCAGCCCCTCCTTTTTTTCTTTTAACACCCCTCTGCTCCAACTGTTTATTTCGGAATTCATGCTTTCTGTTTTAATCTTAACAGAGTAGTTTTTTGCACCTTAGCTTTGTCAGGGTGTGTGCCTTGCCTTCCATCTTAGGCTTCAGAGCACTATTGTCTTAGTGAGCCCTAGTCCTAAGTCCTAACTAGTTAACTATAGCAGTAAAACCCAAATAATGTGAACTTACCTCTTAACCACAAACAAAGACCCTTCAACATCCTTACGGCTCTGCATCAAAACCACAAGAGAACATATAATAGAAGAGTCATAGTCTCATAGATTAAAAAAACTAAGATACTTAATTCTTCGGCAGAATGGAGTAGAAATATGAGGCAATCTTTTTCCGAATGACCTTTCGTAGATTGGATTGGTCAAAGGTAGAATTACAATTTTGCAGAGTAATGCCTTAAAATAAGAGTTTTATGAAAAAGAAGTATTCTGTGTACTCCAGTGCGTTAAAAATAAAAGTTCGTGAAACAAAAGTATTTTGTATACCCCAGCATAGTTTGTAAGGCGTCGCCTAGGCGATAAGGCGCTGTCAGTGGGACGCCTTGTCTGCTCGCCTCGCCTAGAAAACCTTTAGGCAATCAGGCGCTCGCCTAGGCGTCGCCTTTCCTTGCCTTAACTCGCCTTACCTCGCATTGATGCCTTGAGCCCCTTTAAAATTTTGAAAAAACCCATTTTTTAGTGCAGCCCATTTTCTTTTAGTGTAGCCTAATAGACTTAAACTTATCTTCTCTCTCTCTCTTGGTCTTCTCTGTCTTGATCAAGCTTCCTTAAAATGTATAAGACCTCTTTCTCTCTCTCTCTCTCTGTGTGTCTATATATATATATATATATATATATATATATATATATGGGATTGACTCCAGTCAGATGACACCTTACGGTGAGATGACATGCTACGGTCAGATGACGCAAAGCTCACCACTGGTCACTGCAAATCTCACCAAGGACAACTACAAAGCTCACCAAACTTTAAGGCAAAGCTCACCATATTTCTTCAACACTTTGAATTTTTTTTGAAAAAAAATCAAAGGAATTGGTGCTGACTAGACTTTGACCATTGACCGTTGACCATCACCGCCGGCGACCGTCGCCGTTGACCACCGCCGCCGAACACCGCCGGACGCCGCCGACCTCCGCCACCACCGCCACTGTCGGGGACCACCTCCGCCGCCGACCACCGCCACCACCGGCGACCACCTTTGCTGACCTCCACCGCCGGTCTTCGCCGCGCCACCGCTACTAACCGGTGGTTGACCGGTGTTGCTATTTTATTTTTTATTAATTTTTTAATTTTTAAAATTAAAAAAAGGTGAGTTTTGGTGTTCAAAGTGGTGAGTTTTGCCTTATTTCCAGGTGAGCTTTATATTGGCCATTGGTGAGCTTTGCAGTGTAATGTGGTGAGCTTTGCGTCATCTCAACGAAACATGTCATCTCACCGTAAGGTGTCATCTCACTGGAGTCAATCCCTGTATGTATGTATGTATGTATGTATGTATGTATGTATATGTATGTATGTATGTATATGTAGGTATGTATGTATGTCGATTGTCGCCTACTCACCTAGGCGATATGAAGGTACATTGACGCCTCGCCTTTCCGCCTTACAAACTATGTACCCCAGTGCATACTCCACCTCTTTTGTTACACGAAATAGTTAAGCCACCTCTTGTTCCCTATCTATTTCATTTATTTTTCTTCAAGTTTTTGTGTTTTGAATTAGGATCTCTTGGAAACAACCTCCCTGCTCTATGGGTTGGGGTAAAGCCTGCGTACACTCACCCTTCCTAGACACCACTTTGGGGAATTTAACAAGGTTTGTTGTTGTACTCTATAACTCCTAAGTGGTGCTCAATCATATCATACTCTTATTAAGCATCAAAAATCAGATACACGAGCAATCAATACCAATTTAACCCTACTATGGCTTCTCTTATGCTCTCCAACCAACATTTCAAAAAGTTCCAACATTCGTGCATGAGCCTTAACTTTCAGGGGACTAGCGTATCCAAGAAATGTCTTCAATAGTTATTAGACTATTACTCATACTATATTCACTCTCCTGCAAATCTATCCATTGTGCACTCTATATTTAAGTCTTAGCACACATTCGTTTGAACATGGGCATCAACAGCACACGTATATTCTTTATTAAATAATTCTTCATTGCAACATTACCTTATGTATAATGAAGATGATTTCAATAAAAAATGCTGCAAAAGGAAACTAGGACACCAGAAGTATCTTTGTCCCACCAATCCATTTGTACATGAAATATCTTTGGATGCTTTCAAATATACAGTGTATGTTTTTAGTGTGAACTTATAATGCTAACTAACTTTAAACATCTAATTGACAGTGCAAATTTTATGGCACCGGCCCAAACATGAGTGGGGATAAGTTGCTAGAGATTATGAAAGTAAGCATTGGGACACACACAGACACAATGTGCCCACGCACCCACACAGTTTCATTCATTATTGATCCTCTGGACCCGGAGCCCTTTCCAAATTGCTAGATCTCAACGCTTAGTCCTGAATGATGACACACTTCAATAGCCTTTTGTGCACATCATAGGGTTATGCATACTATTTTTAAACAATGTTCAATGAACCAATTTGATCATACATTGCAAGAAGCGCTTTCGCCTTAGCCTTAAATATCAATGCCTTCCAAATAGCACACCTAGATAAATAATCGCACACCTACTTTCTACATACTCTAAAATGTACAAAAGGTTCATTTCCCACTCACCAAGTTACACCACAATCCTCAATTCAATCCAATTCATTCCCTAAACCTAAAAAATTGCAATCTAATACGGACATTGAATACGAGAGAGATAGGGAATGGAACAACGAACCCACTGGTTGATCTCGACATTGAACTCGTAGAAGGTGACGTGAGCGGCGGTGATCAAGATCTCCTCAATGTAGGGATCAATTCTCTGAAGAACGGTGAGATTGAGAACCTTGGTGCTCCGCTCGTCCAGATTCGGCATCAGCTTTCCCGTTTGGGAAGAAGACATGGCTTCTCCTCCTCCTCCTCCTGCCAGTGAAACACAATCGAAGAATTAACCTGCTTGGCTGGTGCCGCTGGTACTCTACTTTCTGTCACTAAACCAATTTCACGCCTGGCTGCAACTCTGCTGGCTTCCAGGTTCAACGTGTTGAAAACTTCTAAATCTGTAAGTGCTGAATCAGTAAGAGGTTTGAACCATTAAGTACTGAACCAGTAAGAGGTCTGAACCATTAAGAGCTAGTATATTGTTTAACTATTCAGAGGCAAATGTCTGATCAATTCAGATAAGAGGCCTTAACCATTCAGACTCTGTATAATACTTAACCATTCAGAAGCAAATCTCTTAACCATTCAGACATCTGAACCATTAAGAGGCTGAAACAAACAGTCTGAACCATTAAGTGCTGAACCATTCAGACATCTGAACCATTAAGAGGCTGAAACAAACAGCCCCTAAGTTCAAAATGTTAGTTTTAGGTAGAGCAAAACTAAAATTGATCCGATCTATTTTTTTACTTCAAATCAGCTTTGAAAATATTCAGTGTCCTAAAGAAATTTTGTAGGCTGAATTCAAAGATGACTGAATCCGAAATGACGGGATGACATTGCAATTAATTTAATTAAATTGCAATGAAAACGTTTTGATTAGTAAAGACTATGCTTTATACTCCCTCCGTCCCCCTAAGATCTTCTCGTTTTGACTTTTTGTGGTTTTTAAGAAGAGTTGAAAAAAGGTGAAAGTTTACCATAATACCCTTAATGAAAATGGGTGGAGTGTATTAGATGAGGTGGGTGAGGTGTAATAAATAAAGTAAGTGGGGGTAGTTGTGGTATTTTAATTGTTAAAAAGGTAACGAGAAGATCTATAGTGGACAAATAAAAAGGGCTAATGGGAAGATCTATGGACGACGGAGGGAGTATATAATATGTAGTATTTGTTTATGAACTTTTTTAGGGGTATTTATTTATGAATTTGGTATTGATTTGTGTCACTCGCATCACTCAAGGCACACATCCAAGCTGGGTCTGGGTGGCTGGGTCAAAGTTTGAGTTGTCTGAATCTAAAAATTATTTTTCAAAAGTCTGTCTTAAGTCAAACAAATTAATTTTGAGTCAAATCATTTCTTTTTTAACTTGTCCCATCCAAACCATTCTTTTTTTAAACTTTTTCAATTTATATAATTTTTGAACCATTCATATAAATAATATTCTATCTTCTATTATCCTTGTTATTCCTATTAATATTAATACCATAATATAGAATCACGGTAGAATAAGTAATTATAGTACCAATAAAATAAGGAAAGTAACGTAAATAATATATTCTATTTTCTATTATCCTTGTTATTTCTATTAATATTGATACAAAAATAATTATTTTAGATTTATTTCATAAATATTTCCAAATTATTATCTTATCTAATTAATTATCATATATATTTTATTTATTATAGTCAAAAGTTGAACATTGTTGATTGCAAAAGATCAAAACTAGATAAATACTCAAAGAAGGAAATTGTACAAGAATGCCTTTATAAATTAATCATTACCTATTCTTATGGAGTTTAATTAATAGATTCCATAATTACCTAAAAAGAGTATTTCATCTAAATAATAAATCTAACGTCTACGGTACATTCTCATTTCTTTCATTGTACCGAACAAATATAAATATATAGTTCCGAAATTTCAAGTGGAAACCCATCACTATCTGGGACATAGTTCAGAAATTGATGCTTCATTTAATGTGATAGATTGGCAAAGCTCCATTGGTTCTGCAACATGTATCTCCTCACTCACTCCTTGAAAAAAAGCAGGTTCACTAGGCATTGACCAATTATTATTCGAATAACTATTGAACATCAACATTATCTCTTGTATTGTAGGTCTTTTATCCGCACTTTCTTGAACACATAGTAAACCAATGTGTATACATTGGATGACTTCTTCAATTGTATAACATTCTTTAAGGTTTGGATCTAATATCTTCAGAGGTCTTCCATCAATCCATTGCTCCCAAACCTATAATAATTTATATCATGACTTCAATGTTCATATGTAAAACATGGTGTACAATCATCAATGATTGGCTAGGCAGGATACAACCACATAACTTTTTCTGTGGACCTTTTTGTGCTTAGCCAACTTAAGTGTGTGTTTCTTTTAATTTTTGTTGCAATTGTTTTTCAAAAATGACAAAATGCATTTATAGTTGAGATAACATAGTTTTAAAAAAGAGTAAATCAAAAATGGAACAGGTGTGGAATGAGAAAGTGAGATGTGCTAATTTATTAATAAAATTCTACTCACATAGCCAAGGAGGTCTTGTGCTTTATTTGATTGGCGGAACTTATTTTTCTTTCCAGAAATGATCTCTAGGATAAGCACACCGAAGCTGAAAATATCAGACTTCACAGAAAATTCTCCATGCATTGCATACTCGGGGGACATGTAACCACTAAAGACAAAAAATGTATGCAAAATTAAGTAACATATTTTTTTTAGTTCTTTTAGAAACAATTCTTTTATAGAGTAATAAAGCATGCAAATAAAAATCATAGATTTTAGTTAGATTCATAACTTACTATGTTCCAACAATTCTATTAGTACTTTCCCTTGTTTGATCAAATGCAAAAATTCTTGCCATGCCAAAATCTGCTATTTTTGGACTCATATTTTCGTTGACGGGCTCATTCTTGTTGGGTTCGTAATTAGGTAATGGTCTTGTAGCTACTATAAATGGCGGATCTATGTGTAATCAAATAACTCAAGTTTAGATCTAATAATATTTTTTACATGGTATCGGAGCAAACCTGGGAACCTGAACCCTAGTTTGCTCTAATATGTTGCTTCCGTTGTCGCCGTCGTCGGTGGTTTGTCCAGCGACGGCGGCGTCACCATCAGATTTTGTTCTTGCCACAGCCTGATCGGCGCACTTGTGATCCAATCGTCATTGTTGGTTCCCGTTCGGCATCACCATCTAATCTCTTTACCAAAATCAGATTAGTATCACTGTAAAAAAAAATATATCTACATCGTCATGTGTTGCCCCCAAATTTGGATCCGTCAAAAAGATCCAAAAGTTTTCTGCTGCCGTCGTGGGATGTAATATCATCGATCTGTTCTTTCACAAAATCAACAACCGCTATAGTTTTCAGTTGTTCCGATCTCCTATGTGGTCGTGACCCATGGGGCAAGTTTGAGTGCACAATTGCATACTCCCTCCGTCCCCAATTTGATTACAAATTGCGAGTTACGGAGTAAAATTTTCAACTTTTTGAAATCATTTTATTTACAAATTGGTATATCAATAAGATATAAAAATTACATATTAAAAAACTACGTCAAAAGTTCTACAAAACAAAAGGTGACGGGAATATTTTATTTTATCAAATACTTAATGAAATCACATAAACAAACAAAAGTTATCCAGAAGAGAGAAAAAAAATTGTAATCTATTTAAGGACAGAGGGAGTATTTTTTTGCGGTCTCCAATTTACATTGTGGGCCAAAAGTGAGTAAGTGAACATCAAGTTTAATCCATCCACTCCCCTTTGTGAAGATTTGGAGTTTCATTTGTGCCGATCCAATTTTGTTCAAGTTTAGATCTAATAATATTTTTAACATATATATCATAAATATTTACATGATGTCGTGAGAAGCAATTTTAGATGTACCTTAGGTGCACTTTGTCATATGACTACCACCACTAATTGATTTTTTTAAACGTATCACCAACAATGAAGTAAGATTTTAATCATATAATTAACTAGCACAAAATAAATGATTAAAGCTCTTTTTGATAATTACTCACTTCATTTCATAATGTTAGTCAGATTTTAAATTTTACAATCTCTAATATAATGTTTGATCATTCATATAGATAATTGATTAGTCACACATCACAAATCCTTAAGAGATCCCGTTCACGCCAAATAACACAAATTATTTCCAACATAGATAAAATATAGTAATAAGCAAATTTTGTAAATTTTGACTATTAAATTCAAAATGGAATGCAGATTACAAAAATGAGAAATTACGTTACGTGCATACCTTGTATACGAAACCATATCCACCTTGTCCGATTATACATGAGAAATCATTAGTAATAGCTTGAATAGTAGTAAAATCATATTGGCATGACTCGCTTGAAATGCCATTTACATCTGCGAAATAAGATGAAAACTATTACATTCATTCTCCCATAAAAAGATTTTAATTTATTCTTTTTCTTCCGTCCTAAAAGAAGGTTCTATGCTCTTTTTTTGTAGGAATTTTTGTGATTTATGGAGTATATAATTTCTCACAATGAATGTTGATCAATATACTTCCTCTGTTCTTAAATATTTGTCAAATTTTGATTTTTCTAGTCAAAATTGATAAACTTTAACCACAAATTAAATAAAAGTGATACTCCGTATTAGATATTGATACAAGAATAATTGCTCCTTCCCCTTTCTTTTTTTTCTTGTCCCACAAACTCCTTCCTTTTTTATTAAAAAATTACTTTTACCCCTACTAATTCTTAATCTAACTATCATTTCATACTTTTTTTACTAACAATCTATCCATCGCATCCTACTTTTACCGATCACATCAAGAATACTTTTGAAAAGTCAACACGGAAATATTCCTCCCTTAAATTTCCTAAAAATCAAAATGGGAACATCTTTATGAGACCAGATAGAATTTGACTATAAGTCACATGTTAAAAAATGATTATGATTGATGGTAAAAAACTACGGAGTAAAACTATAGATAATTCCTACATTTCTAACCTGCACTTGGAGATATCCCATTTCTCTGTTTGGCACGTCGTCTAGTTCTCACAAGACATATGATTGCAATTGTGAACATAACCCCACAAAATGGAGCTATAGTTGCGACAATGGCCACCTTCGAACTAGATGAAGAACCAAGAATATGCGCCGGCGGCGGTGGTGGAGGAACGGAAGCCGCCGGGGCGGCCGCAAGAGAGTTATAGTAGAAAGGGTACATCTCATACCTCACATAACAGCTTGGGAGCATACTCCTACAACCGATCGCCGGCGCCGTTAGGCCTTGTTTAGCTTTAGTTATGCATTCCTCGCAGTCGGCATTGGACAGGTCCGGCGTACACTGCCCCAGAGTGTATATCGTCTCCCTCGAATCGAACCTAGTTTCGCGCGTGGCAAACTTGCTGCTGCCGCCGCCGCCGCCATCCTTCAACCGGTTGGCTAGATTCGCCAGCGAGATGCCGACCCACGTCATGAAAGCCTCTGGCCGGGAGTGGTTTTCGGGACGGTACATAATGTTATGGACCGACACGTCGAGCCTCCCGACGATGGGCCTGTCCGAATAGCGCAGCATGCAGAGGTCGTACCAGACATAGGCAGTCTTCTGTCTGGGACACAACTGCATGATGTTGTCCCTGGCATCGCTCACGCACGCCAGGCAGTAGCGGGCGAGGACGTCGCCGCCGCACATGAAGAGAGCGTACGCGGCGGAGTCCCCACCGCTCCCGGCCGAGGCAGAGCCGAAGAGGCCTCTTCGGTTTGCGCGCGTGGCGTTTTTGGAGGAAAGGAGCATCGAGAGAACGGAGTTGAGGTTGGAGCGGTAGGGGTCGTTTGGCGCGTAGAGAGTGGTGTTTGGGCAGTAATGGAAGGTGGACTGGGAATTCGCCCCGGTGATGAGGAGGAAGAAGAAGAAGAAGCCAAACGCAGACCATAATAATCTCTGAGAATGATAAGACATTGTAAAAGTAGTACTAGAAGATCAGATGAAGTAATAATTTTGGGGTTTTGAAGATTTATTGATGGGAGAGGTGATCTTATGGTTTGAGACGTACTTAGGAAGATGATGACCAGAAAACACCCCAGGCCAAAGTGTGAACTTAGGCCATATTATTCATACATAATATATGATGACTGGTTCAATTCAACGTTGGTCGAGGGGAATCCATAGCTAGCCGCCCACATGCAGGAAGACTGCAACTTCAATTCTCTAGATTTAAGGTCATTACCATATATTTTGTTGGACACGTAGCTGCTGCAATAGTAGTTGACCTACCCCTCTTTCCATATTTTTTTTAGGAAGGAAAGAAAATAAAGGTTTTGACTGTTCATGTGACATTGAGACTAATGTCATAGCTAGGATGATCTGAGACTCTTACTGGTTCGGTTGATAAAATTGATGGTTTCTACCTCCTAACCCTCCTTTCTTTCGCCCATTGACTACAGTGGTCATTAGCAAAGTCCCATAAGGGGGTTGGGAGGCAAGAAGAATTTAAGGAGAGGCAAGAACCATCGATTTTTATAACGGAGTCCTATAAAGATAGAGTCAGAGAAGCCACGATCACAAATCAAGATACATACAGTTTGAAAAGCCACGATTAAAAAAATCCAACAGCTAGAGGACCCCAAAAGTTGGCATAGAAATACCCAATTGCTATGGCCGGGTTAAGGGATAAGAACAATAAATTTTACGGTGCAGAGTAGGTGGAGTGCGTATGTTGTACATCCCGTTGTACATGAACTATGGTACAGTCAGTTACTCATTTTGGAGTAAAGTAATACGGAGTACTCATTTTCACATGAAACATAAGTGTTCATTTTGGAGTAAAACAGTGTTCATTTTGAAATAACGTGGTTTTCATTTTGAATCAGTGTTCATTCTGAAACAACGTAGTGCTCATTTTTACACATTTATTCATTACAATTATAATAATCATTTACGAATAACGTAGTGTTCATTATGAAACAACGTAGCATTCATTCTCAGACAACGTAGTGTTCTTCTGAGCAACGTACCTTTAATACCACCCGAAGCAATTCATGTGATACTTACCTGCTGCCACGGGGGTCACCTTCACTCACTTTAATGCTTCACCTTGCTTGTTCCATCCACAGATTGAAGGGAGGAGATGGCTTTCACCTTGCTTGTGCACTGCCATCGTCGCACCTAGGGTTCGTCACACCTAGGGTTTGCCGTGCGTCACTTTGTAGCGCTCCAATTGCCATCATCGTCACACCTAGGGTTCGCTGTGCTTCACTTTGAAGTCGGTGCCCCAATTGAATTTGTGTAATAATCTTACACCAAATGTTTGGTGTAAGATTTCCTTCTCCCTCTCTCTTTCTCTCTATATATATTTGGTGGAACTAAACATGATATTTATTCATCCCATTTGAAGTAATCATTAGTACATAGTTTTACTGCAGTATTTGTATTTGCACATACAAATGTACAACATGAGTGAAGCTTACCCATAAGGAGGAAATCCGCAAATTGTGTACTCACAAAAAAAAAGTGTTCCTTAGCTTCTTCACCCGTGCCACTTTGCTTTAGACAAGAGCACAAACAGACAAGCAACGGCGGCAACAAGAGCACCATATAGAAAGGCACTTCTCATCCTCTGCAGTTTCATTGGCAATGCACTGCATATATATGTCCATAACAGTCGCAATAGAAAATGCAGTCCAAAACTCTTCTTAAATTTATGAATTGAGAAGTTGTCAGGCAACTTATCCTGCTCGGCTAGATGATCCACATGAAGCCTTACATTGGATGAAGCATGAATCCAGAAACCAGGGTCAACATCTGCATATGTATAAGCAACTATGTCAAACAGTGTTCTGGCTCCATTCTCCATTGCTTTCAAGATTGTCGACTCTCTCTTTCTCCGGTTCCTGAGATATCCACAGAGCATGTGTTTAGGCCACATATTAACTCTACCATGCATGGGAATCAAGGCATGAGGTGAAAGCTCCAGAAACTTGTAGGTTGTCTGGAAGTAATCGCCCATATGTCCACCAGATGTAATGTCTAAAACAGAACTTCCTTGGCCAACACAATGGTCACCCACGATCAAAGTGTTCGAACTCACATGAAGTAAAGCCAAGTGCCCATCAGTATGCCCTGGTGCTGACACGATTTTCAATCGTTCACCACCAATGCATATCTCCTCAGACCCAGATACTGAAACATAACCAAGAGACCAATCCCCTTTCTTGATTCGGCGCATGGTGTTTTCGTGCGCTAAAAGAGATGCATCAGGGTTGCATTTCTGGACCACAGAAAGACCATCAACATGATCATGATGGTGATGGGTTACAAACACGACCAGCTTTCTGGGCAATGCAGAAACTATCTCCTTCAGCTCATCATACAAAGCAGACTTGCAACCTGGGTCTACTATCAGTGCTTCTCCATGAGCAGCAAAGCTATCATCAGAGCACCCATCGATATTCTTTCCGGGTGCAAGCACTATTAAATTTGTGGTGCGAAAAGGTTTGCTTGTTCTACTCTCCATTGGCACAAGGTTAAAACCAGGAAGGTATTCCTGAAAATTTAGAGTTTGAGAGAATTTACAATTTCCAGATCCTGTTGAAGAATTGAGAAGACCCATAGTGACGAATTGCCCTATACGGTCCTCGTTGGGCTTTACTTCGATAAGCATGCCTCGGCACCTCTCAATGTTCATCCACATAGAAAGCCCATTGAGATTTTCATTTCTACAACCCAAGATCCCAATGATATAAACAATCTTTGTGGGCAACCCTGGTCCGAATTCTGGCTCTTCCACGCACTTGTGAAATCTCCACTCAACCTTTGTGGCGCCGACAAATCCTAATTGTCCCAAAACCAGAATCAGAGCCGAACTGAGGTCGAATTTTCTGAAATCGAAAGAGTCCGACTCACACTGGTTGGCATGGAAGGGAACTTCAGCCGCCGATGTCGGCGTTAGGGGAAGAAGATGAGCGGAGGGCAAGTCCCAGAGGTCGGAATCGGCGAAGGAATCGTAATCGGGGTCATTGAATTTGGGAGGCGGGGTCTGTTTCACGAGAAGAAATTCGGCTTCGTTTACTGGGTTTTTGATGATCGCGACTAGAGTGTGAGTCGCCATTGAAGATCAGACCATGAGATCCGGGTGATGATTTTTTGGTGATTCAGAAGGGTTAGGACATGTTTGATGGTGAGAAACTATACGACCAGTAATATATTCTCAGTCAGTATTTACTCATTTTCTTAATAAATTTTGGTTAGTTATTTTGTATTTAATAAAATAATATATTCATGTCACCTCTTATTTGTAGAATTTTTGATAAATTTTAAAATATACATTTTTATTTATTAATTTTACAACTATAATCAAATAAATTGAATTTAAAATAATTTCAATCAAACCTCGTAAACCAAAATGGAAATATCATTTTAAAACGGAAACAGTATGCATAGTGTAGCCATTTTAGATGCACCTAACAAAACAAAACATATTCTTTCGTAGACCTAAAGTTCATACTAATTTTGTGGACTTCAGTTCATTTTTAACAAAGAAATAAACTTTTTTACAAAAAAAAAGACATTCATATGCAAGCCCATGAAAAATATAAAAAAGTCAATATTTTTTAAATGTCGATCTTCGAACTTCGAATCATGTAAGCACCACTGGACAAACAAATACAGAGTACTTATTACTCCGAGTACAAAAAATAAAAAATATGTTTTTTATTCGAGAAGGTCTCAACAAGTTGATGGATGAGATCTCAAGTTTTAATTTTAGGGGCATGCTAAATTTAAATAGGAATGTTGGTCAAAGTTAGGAGACTAAAAGGACAAGGTGAAACAAATTATAAATGAATTTTTCATATACTCCTTGATAATTATACATGCAACTATCAAATTAGCATCCTTTAGAAAGAAAACGAACATAATTTTTAAATAAACATATACTCCGTTCTCCTAAGAAATGAAAAAGTGAAGTCAGCATTTTTATTTTATAAAGAAAAATGACCAATCATAAAAAAACATTACTTTTGTGGGAGATGTGTATTTCTCTATTGATAATAGCTCCCTTATATAGGGAAGAGCTTCGTAGGGTTTTACAAGAGAAGGCACATAGGCCAGTACAATTTATTACACAATATAAAGTAAATTCTATCTACACAACAGCACACTAATTTACAAATTCCTTCAACACTCCCCCTTGTGCTGAGCTGTAAGTAGAATTGCAGAATCTTGATCTCTTGTCAAAATCTCGTCAAGTGTCAAAACCCTGTGAATAAAAATCTTGAACGAAGAAAAGAATACCGATCCTTACTTCGATCGCTATGTTCATGCATATTGTTACCTCATTAAAAACCTTACCAAGTAACAAAACCCAATGGGAAAAATAAACCTTGGTTTAAGGAAAAAAGTGTAACATAAAATAAAAGCTAGACCTTTGAATATTCAAATCTCCCCCTGAAGTGTACATGATCAAGGAAGAGCTGAAAGTCTACGCATCCCAATATTTTTAACATGTTTCTCAAATGTGGCTTTAGGTAATGATTTGGTAAATAAATCTGCCACATTCTCCTCAGATCTTATTTGATTTACTTGGATCTTGAGGAGAGTTTGTTGTTGTTGATTATAGAAAAATTTGGGAGAAATATGTTTGGTGTTATCACCTTTGATAAATCCAAGTTTCATTTGCTCGATGCAAGCAGCATTATCTTCGTAAATGCATGTGGGTTCTTCAGTGGTTGATCTCAAACCACTAGCCCCGCGAATGTGTGTAATGATAGTTCTTAACCATATACACTCGCGAACCGCCTCATGTAGAGCTATTATCTCTGAGTGGTTTGATGAGGTGGCTACTAGAGTTTGCTTGGTTGACCTCCACGATATTGCAGTGTTACCAACTGTGAATACATAACTAGTTTGGGAACGACCCTTGTGTGGATCAGATAAATATCCTGCATCAGCATACCCAATTAGTACATCATTTGGTGTTTCTAAACTTGAGGATGAACTTTCTTCTTCAACCATTTTCTTAGAATTCACAGCTTCCTTTGTCCTTTTTGTATGGAAAGAACAGTCTCATATCACTGGTTCCCTTTAAATACCTCAAAATATTTTTGATACCGTTCCAGTGACGTTGCGTTGGCGCAGAGCTAAATCTAGCTAACAAGTTCACTGAGAATGCTATATCCGGCCGAGTACACTGAGCTAGGTACAATAATGCACCTATGGCACTTAAGTATGGAATTTCAGCTCCTAATACCTCTTCATCCTCTTCCTTTGGACGAAATGGATCCTTTTTAGGATCTAAACTTCGGCCAACCATGGGAGTGCTAGCAGTATGCGCTTTGTCCATGTTAAATCGTCTGAGTACCTTTTGGACATACGCAGACTGGTGGATTAATATCCCACCAACTCGATGTTCTAGTTCAAGGCCTAAACAAAATCGAGTTTTCCCAAGGTCTTTCATCTCAAATTCAGATTTCAAATAATTTGCAGTTTCTCTTATTTCATCAAGAGTGCCTATTATGTTCATATCATCAACATAAACGGCTACAATTGCAAATCCAGAACTTGCTTTCTTTATAAATACGCAGGGACATATTTCATCGTTCTTATATCCCTCTTTAATCAAGTAATCACTTAGGCGGGTATACCACATCCTGCCGGATTGTTTCAAACCATAAAGAGAGCGTTTTAGTCTGATCGCAAACGCACTCCGTGGTTTAGAGTCACTTGATTTGGGTAAGGGAACACTGTCTGGTACTTTCATGTATATCTCAGAATCAAGATCCTCATAGAGATATGCAGTAACCACATCCATAAGCTGCATTTCCAATTCTTCGGAAACTGCTAAGCTCACCAAGTACCTAAATGTTATAACGTCCATTACAGGGGAGTATGTCTCCTCATAATCAATTCCAGGGCGTTGTGAGAAACCTTGCGCCACTAGGCGAGCCTTATATCTTAAGACTTCATTCTTCTCGTTACGTTTCCTGACAAATACCCATTTATGTCCTACAGGCTTTACACTTGGAGGGGTTAGCACTACCAGACCAAATACCTGTCTTTTTGCCAAGGAATCAAGTTCTGCCTGGATTGCTTCTTTCCATTTAGGCCAATCCGCTCTTTGTTGACATTCTGCAATAGAGCGTGGTTCGATATCATCATGTTCTATTATCTCTAGAGCAACACTGAAAGCAAATACATCATCGATGTGTGTTGAAGATCTTTCTAGTAATATATG